AATGACACCATTACTGCACCTAAGTGACAACTCCAATTACTATTGAAATTCTATTTAAATTTTTTACCAATTTTTATCCCATCCTTTCAATCCATTCATTAGCAACTATTCAGGGACCAATTGAATTTGCACTGTTTGATGCAACAAGTACTCTTGGGCCTTATCTTGATTCACGTATGCAAGGCTGGATCTAGCTGACACTCAGCTCTCTGGGAGGGCAAAGTCTCCTGTCTTCCGGACAATTTCCTGAAGACAGTCAAGCTGAAATATATCTCCCGATTTTTATGTCCAGATAGCTGAGGTAAAGGATGACATCAAAAGGTATTTACCGAGATAGAACGTGATGCGAGGGACATTCTTGCAGCAACACCTCTTCAAATTACCAGGAGTTGAAGATTCTCATTAAAAAAAAAAGAACTCGCGGTTGTTGATACACCAAGATTTTTGGTGATAAGATCCAGTGGGAATTGCACTGTTGTGCTCTATTGATGCTCCACCATTTTCAGAACAAACAGTTAATAAATTGCATTGACGCTGGATGAATATCAAGTTTGGCCTCTGCCGTTGCATTCCAATATGCACTAGACACATTTACTGGTGTGTTTGGTGTTCGTATTGGTGAAATAACCGATACATACATCAGGTGGAAACTCGTCTATGAGAGGACTTGTTGGAACTGTCGGTGGAGAGCCAGTGGCCTTACAAGGACGTGCTTGTGCCGGCGCTCACTTGGCCGTTGGTGGTGTGTTATGTGCCGTGTTAGATGAACACGAACATTAGCATACATATGTGCTGAGATATATATGAGGTAGCGCGCGACCGGCACGCGTAATCTAGAACTCAGGGCAAAAAGACATATCGTCGTAGCACCCACACCCATTTTTTAAAAAAATTCATATTTTTCTAACCCAATGAATATGAGAATTATTTAAATATTCAAGCGTTTATTGTCGCTTGGTAAAATTTCATAGCGTATGACCGCCCACGTGCATTGTCTGGACCACTGGAGTGCTGCTCACCAGAATACAATACTCAACTCGCAGATGTGAACATGAATAAATGGATTTACAATTTGACGTAGGTGTGTCTCGAACCATTTCTCTGTAATCGATCAGAAAAAAAAAATAACAACTGAGTTTACCTATCAAAAAATTACAAGAAAAAATATAACTGAACTGCTTTCAGGGGTCATATTATTTTTAATTGGTGAATTAAATCTCGGGCGTTCACCACAACTCATACCTTTGTATATTATCCAAGAAAAATATCGTCTACCAATTCCTTGAAAGCAAATAAACAAATTTAATGAGCATTTCTTTCGATTACACTCCCAGGCATTAGGAGAATTAGTACCCAACAATTAATTAACTCAGATAGAGTCAATCGTATAATTGAAAATTTTTAGTTGATCTGTAATTAATTATTTCCAGGAATGTGCGTGTCAAGGGCGGCTTTAGTTCTTAACTGAGCAGCTGTGAGGCAAGTTTCATACCCAAGTCAGTTACCAACAAGAACTCGAGAGTTCCAATCATTGAAGACACGTATAGGTTGAACTAATGTTTTATAGATTTATCCAAAGAAGTGAAGGCACACCGTTTTAGGCAACAAGTGGTACTCGATGTACACGGATACCAGTAAAAATTCGATGAAAAAAGATAAAAATCCACACATTTTACCCAATAAATGTTTCCCCGCTTGACGTAGTAATTACTGAGTAAAAAATTCAATTGGCCATCTCATCATCATGAACTCCACTAGTCTCCCAATAACAGTTAGTATGATAATTCACGAGTAATTATCATGAGGCAAAATGTAGGAGAGACATCGATATAAAAAAGATAAAATAAATAAATAAAAATGAGACAGTGATACCCTGTGGACGTGGAAACTCGACGTGTCCTTAGCTGTAACCCGCCTAATCCAAGTGTACACAGAGCAATACTGACTTGCTGTCTTTTCCAAATAAAGATACTGGTCTCGTCGTAGGCGGTCTCACCATCGCCCAAGTTAATGAAATGGATATTGGTTACAAATTCCAAAATTATTGGATCAACCTCTGACGTTTACTATTCCACCTGGTCGTCTTAATTGACCGAATGCTCCACCGACGAAACAAAAATATCTCCATCCGATTATGAATAATCGATAGTCGATTCACAAATATAACTGCCGTTGGAGTACGTGAAAAAAAAAAGATCTTCAGGTCGAGTGCCATCGATTCACCTGCAGTTATTACAACTTTATTTTTATTGACTCCAGTCGATTGAGTGAGACGTGGTAATTGCTTCATTTTGTCGTTATTTTCCAAAGAGTTGGATGAGAGTGGATGGAAAAATTATTTAATTATGGTGTAATTGGTAATTAGGAGTTTATGCCAATTAAGGAATTTTTTTTATGGCTTTCGGGATTGAATTGCGGAGGACCATGGACTCGAGGAGGAAAAGAAATTTCATTGATTTTGGGTGAATGTTTGTGTGATACTCCACTAATTGAGCTGGACGTTTTCATCAATTATTCCATGCTGAAGAGTTTGCCAGGTCTATCAATAGAATGTGGGATACTCCATTTATTTCGGGAAATTCCATGTTCTAACTGAATTTAATCTCGTTATTACCAGTGATTATCCGAGGGCACGTTCCCAATTAAATCGACTGGTCTCTAAATGCTCATCAATTCCCTCATCCCTCGAAAAAATTGGATATTTCCCGAGGAATTGAGTCTTTTCAGAGATACACACAGTGTGATAAAGGTGAAAGCACATGTGAAGATTGCAAATAAAAAAAAACAGCAAGTGTGGGCGTAAATGTGAGACCAATTATATCAGGGGAACGACAGAAGAAGATAGGTGCAGCAGGTTGTGAGACACGTGAAGGACCTGAGAGTTTGAGTTGAACGAACGAGGAGCCGCCTTAACGACCAGTAACCTCTTCTCCAGTGCCCACCAGCTAACTATGGACAAGTGCTTTTCATTTTTGGTCCTCAACTGCCATCCGGTTTCCCTCCAAAATATTGCAACGAATATTGACTTCACCTTCACCCATGGATCCCATCCCTGAAGTCTGATTTGTCGCTCTCATTTCAGGTTTTCACGTCTTGTCTTATTTCGACATTTCCTTCTCTCCTCTCCTTTCTTCTCCATCCCTTTTAACCTCGATGAATATTATTTAATGAATATTATTTAATGAATATTATTAACTGATGATCTTGAGAGAAATCAATTTTTTTCATGAATCTGTTCAGAGAGTAGAATTATCAAAAATCCATGACATGTTCTCGGTTCAATAGTCTACAACTATATAGGGCCCAACGACAACGTTAAATCCAACGACATTCCACAATATACTTGGGATACAGGAAGACGGCATGTGAGATGACGCAGTAAATCCTCTGGTGAAGAAGTAACGCATTCCTGAGAAAATGCACGCAACAAGAATATGTTTTGCCAATGTACGTTGAATTGGAAATGAACACATATTAGAAGAATTCGAGTGATAAAAATCATGAATCAATTGATAACACGACAGAAATTTGATCTCAATGCTGATACCAAGGGTTGCAGGTCTAAATTATCCATAAATTATATCATAAAATTATGAAATATGGTAATTGATATTTATACTTCAATGCAATCCATTGTATTGTTCTTCTATTTGCTCGTCATTAAATAAATTTTCATGCGCAATGAGTTAAATAATGGTGGAATTGACTGAGGAGTATCATGAGTACCCGAATGACAATTCCCGACGATAACTATCGAGAATAGTGATCGGTATATTTAGTCATTATCATTCCTTCGAAATTCATGTGACGTACGTCGAGTCCTGGCTCGTGTCACTCGATCATTGCAGTTGATCTATTGCATTGGATCTTTACCGTAACCACATCGAAGATACACCAACGGAGATATCAGTTGGAGCCACGAGAATTACAGACACTTGCACGCTGAGAACTTCTGTTGTTGACTTCCTCGCGTGCCCAGTTTGTCACGAATGACAATTTATCGTCGTCGTTCTCCTCTTGACTCTGAAAGACGGCGGTCACGTTGTTACCTTTACTTGTTGCAATGAAATGTCTGATTCTCTCAACAAATTCATTTCTTTCGACCCTCTTTTTACCCACGATTATCATAAGAAATTGGCAAAATCGGTTTATAAAAAATACTTACTAATTCGATTCATTCATCATACACTCGACAACTCGCGGAGAATTTATACAAGTTGATAATAAATAGTGTATGTGTGGGTGATACTGTACGTCTCAAGCTATGGAGTTGCATTAACAGTCAGTTCACAGCGTTGATCGGTTGGATTTCACTCTAGTCGCCGTTTACCGATCATTCGACAAAAAAAAAAAAGTCGTTTCTTCGACCACCATGTGCAGGTGATCCCTCTCTCTCTCTGCATTTCCTCGCGCGACGGCTTATAATTTCTAATGGGTCCTCCTTCTTCTCCTTTTTTGCTCTCGTTTTTTTTTTCTCCTTTTCAATCCTTTTTTTGCACTTCTCTTTTTCAACTGACATCGGCCATGCCGGTGCGAGTGGCAATAATTTATCTGGATCGGAGCCACTGGCGACGGTGGGACGCGTGTGCGTTGGTGGTTACAGGTAGTGAAAAGAAAATAATAACAAATAAAAGAATAATGAAAGCGACATATCAGTGGCAAGTCCAATACTCGAGGATGGATGGTTGATGGTTGAGTTCGCGCCCCGTTTTCATCCACCAATGGAAACCAATAAAAAACATATTAATCATTTTTCAATCGGCACACGTCACACCAGGATCTTTCATTCTTCAGATAAGATGTACATCATCTCTTTTATTTATTCTTTTTCTTTTCACTTATTCGCTATTCGTTTTATCTCTCACAGCGCACCTATATCGAGTGATAATAGAAGAAATGTTTCTCGAGCTGTGAGAAAAATTGATATCATCTGTTCATTTGAAAAAAAAAAATCAATCTTTTATTTTCAATCGTAAAAGTTTTATTACCTCATCATCGTTATCATCATTATTATTATTACTACCATTATTATTATCATCATCATAATATCATTGATATAAATAATTGTTCTCTTGTTTCAGTACTTATGTTTAACCGAGAGCGGATACATTACACCAACAATGTTGTATATATATACGAGCAACTCTCGAGAGGGTGAAGTGATAGAGAGCGGACGATTGAAAAGGTATGAGCAAATTTTCATAGTTCTCTTCCCTCTGATGTTGATTATATTTATTTATACATATACACATGAACAATATATAATCATTTTTTATTTCATTCTGGAGATGAACAGGCCACAAACAAAATAGATGCATCAATTGAGAAACTATTCAGATCAATCACATTATCATTTTCATTAATCTGATCTTTAATACCTACAAACTCCCCTGGATATGTCGAAAATGTTTTCCGCTTTTATTTTTTTTCAAGGCACAACTGTTTCTCATCACCCGAAATTCATTTGACTTTCACCTACTGCTCGTTATATACGAGAGTAATTAATGCCTCATACGCATTACTGACACCTAGAATTAATCCTCGCGCTCATCGTCACCAATAAATAAAATAATATTAGAAAAAAAAAAGAAGAACATGACGAGATTCATTGGAGGATCGTATATAATTTCAAATATCCCTAGGCTACGACATAATCTCTACGAATTAAGGTACAAAATCATCATTGAATTAAATAATATAGCTCAAGGTATCAACGATAAAATGTCCTTGTTCATTTTTTTACTTGAATTTATTTGAATTCAATTTGTTCTCAGTAAAAAAAAAAATAATTAAGTAGGAGAAGTGGAGAGATGAGAGAATAACAAAATAAATAACAGAAGTTTTAAACATGAGAAACTACTTAACAACTTATTCAAGTTAAATCGAGAAGTAATAATAATAATGATAGTTAATTAATAACTAAACAAAGGGAGTACTTCAAGTGATTGATAAATCATCGGATATGGCTAGTAACTCAATAGGCACAATCATACTATACTTACAAAAAGTATATATTTTTGTATAAATTTTCGTTTTGTCTGGCACATATTTTTTATACCCTGCCCGAAGACATAAACGTAATGCTCCCCCTTTCAGTTAAAATTTTTCAGACGGCACACGTTCAACAATTTAATGATGAATCTAGTAGGCAAGTAAAATGGCTATTCACTTTAATCCACCATAATTTAAAAAAAGAAAAGAAAAAAAAAAGAATTATTTTTTGATGAACAAAAATATGAAAAATACATCTCGGGTTTTGATTTAATATCAAATAATCCTCGCAAAAGTATTAGCAACTCGCGCAGAGAGTTGACAGCTGTTACATGAGTAATTGGGCATCTCTTGATTGTTCCACAAACGCGAGGTGAACTCAACAAACGAAAGATTCGTATGCAACAGACAAAAATCATACCTTAAAAGAAACTTAATAATGAAAACAAACAACAAACAAACACACATTCTTAACGACTAATATGTCATCCACGTGTTCATAGCAATGTAAAAAAAAAAATATTCAATCTCGCAGGCACAAACGTGGCTAAATCAACGTATTAAGTTTTCTTCTCTACATGAGTGATTACAATAATACTAATAATCTTCGATTCAGAATTCCTAATAACCGGCTAGTCAATTCCTTCCTTCGGACCTCTAAACAGATTAAAACGCACGCATTTTAGTAATCCAGTCTCCATACTATAAAGATTCACAGATAATATTAGGGAAGTCAACGAAATTAATGAAATAATGAAATAATTTGGCACTATTTGCGATAAGATCTTAAGTTAAGAGGGCATTACTTCCTGCGTGAGAGAAAAAAAATAATAACCGGGCAAGTGATAATGAATGGAAATGAATCACTAAGATAGGCTAAAGAGATGGAAATTGTTATGTTGAGTAAATATTACAATTGGTGTGGAATGAATGTTGACATTCTCCGGCACTGGCGACGACAATAAAAAGATAAAAGTTAGTGAACGGTGAACCGGTGAAAGATACATGGTGATAATACTGTTTGGCCGTCTATCTGCCGAGGACGAACACAGGTGGGGCAGTCTTCGGGTGTTTTATTAACTCCAAATCCTCAATAAATAACGAAGATAAATTTGGAATTTGCGTAATCGATAACGACGTTGGCACGATAGGATTGAGATTATCAGTATATAATACTCATATAAAAATGAGCAAATTGTATCAAGGGATTCGATAAATGACACATTGGAAACATTAAAATCACTCAGTTTTGAGATTTGACATTGAGTCAACGGGATAAGTGGGACTTTCTGGATCAGTTGATTCTGATTTAGTGTGGCCATCGACATATCTAGCATGAGTTCTTAGATGCCTCGTAATCATATCCCTCCTGCATGCTGCGTACACACACTGGGGACACTTGTATGGCTTTTCACCGGTATGAGTTCTCTGATGAGTGCTCAGATGATCCGATCTGCTGAATACCTGTCCACAAACACGACATGTGTAGGGTTTGATGCCCGTATGTAGTCTCATGTGTCGCGTCAACATATCCGATCTTGCGAAACTCCGATTGCAAACGTCACAGCGATATGCCTTAGCTGATGCATCTCTTGGTCCTTGTCTCCTGTGCCTCGATGCCATGTGCTTAGCCAGCCTGTCGTGCAAACTAAACATTTGTCCACAAACAGGACACACATATGCAACATCAGCACCAGGAGGCATCTCCTCGACAACTGGTGATACTTCCAAATTGTATCTGAAGGCAACACTCTCTTTAGTCGTTGGTGATGCAACATCACCCCTCACAACTGGTACACTAACTGATCCACGGGTGACAACACCAGTCACTCCTGAAGGCAGTAGCTGAAGTGCCGCTGGCCTCTCAACTTGTGAATTCTTCATTGAAAGATCAAGAGGTGATTCTTGTGGACTAGTTGTATTGTCACTCTCCAATGATCCACTACCGGGTGTACGTGATCTTGGCCAGAGTGATTTTTGTTCCCAGCCTGAGCCAACATCGGAATCCGAATGACTGCGTTTTCTCTCGTCAGGTCCAGGCAGGTACTTTGTATGAAGATATTGCTCAAAGCTATACGATAAAGGAGAGACTGGTGTCAGTGGTGTGAAATTCAGAGGTGTCATGGGTGTCTGTGGTGATGTCGGTGATGGTAGCATAACTGTATTAGCCGTTGAACAGTTAATACAACTGCATCCTGGAAACTTGAGTGGTACACGATGATGATTATTCCTCTGAAGACTTATCGGTAGATGATGCTTGTTGTAATTTGTACCAGTGGTCAATCTGTCATCCGTCTGTGATTCCAAGTTATCCAACGGCTCTAGATCATCGAGCAGCTCCGCTGGCTCGTCTTTAAGGCTCTTTGATGAAAATTGATTTGGAATATCTAACGATCTCGGTGATCCAAATACATCCTCTTCCTCTTCGGACACCAGCGATGTCGATTCAAATCTGTTCGAACTAGTTTCACACTCGTTGGGAAGATTTTTGTGCGCTTGAAGATCGTTAAGCACTTGATTGAGGCGTCTTCGTTTACGCAAAGCTCGATGATTTCGATTCGCTGTTGCTGCTAACGTATTATTATTGGTACATGATGGAGGTGGCGGCTTTGCTGGACCCGGGGGCGCGGCCGCGGCGTCCTCCACGACGCTCTCGGCCATCGTCATTGATGATATGCGGCACCCGCCGCCTGGGCCCTCTGTACCGCCTATCACACCCCCAGCTACCACCCTACTGGCTCCCGTTTCCTGCAACAAGCAAATCATCCAAATATTCATCATTCCATCAATCCTTGAAAGAATCCATCAAACTATACAGATTAATCCATCAATTTCCTAATCCAAATCCTAAACATCAAGCTTTACACCAATCAGCAATCATCCTGGCACCATCCCAGCCCCGTCCTACCTCAATTAATTTAATTTTCCTCGGTGGATGCCCTTCAATGTAATTTCAATTTAATTCTTAACGAGACACTACACGTTTCATTTTCCCACTGACTCTTTTTCCGTAGAACCACCGATTTGGCTTTATACCATCGCCAACTCCTGGTGAACATGAAGAGGAATATACTCGGATGATAGCCCACCGTAAAACAGTATACGTGGTGAGAAGAGAGAGGATATGAGGGGGATTTGTGCCTACTCGTAAACACGTATCTGAAAAAATCCCATGAAAGTTAAAGCTTTACGGAGAAAACAGGTCTTTTCGTGTGGGCGTTCACACTTGTTCCAGAGATCCCTCCATACCACGCAAGTGCATTCATTTTTATCAGTCCCTAACTAATTATCATGTGAAAATTTAAAAAATCATTATTTTACCGAATGAACGAGCGAATGCTGAGTACCAGGTAAAATTATCGTGGGGCAATTTCTGGGATGCTGAGAGCGAAGAAGGAACAAGAGGATTAGTAGTTGCGGGATGAGTAAAAGAATACCTATGAGAAGCACCTGTAACCAGGCGTCTCTTCGCCGCAGCCAGGATGAGGAGGAAAATAAGAACGAGACAGCATGGAACAGGTTGAGACAGGAATTCTCATGAGCGTAGGTGGATCGGTGGTTGATCTTACTCGTGGTACACTGGGATCTCACGTTAAAATAAAATAGTTCATCAAATGAATGTCTGATTTGGGCTAAAAACAATCATTGAAAATATAATAATGATAAATCAGGGATACAAAGCACTGAGGCGGGAAAATTGATGGGGATTTTCCAGTAACGCAACGGCATCCGAGTCTAGGTCTCAACCATCGTGTCTCGTTAACTTTGTGAGGAACGACTTCCAGGTAATTTTACACTGTTACTCTTTTCCTTGGCTCTCTACTCTCTTTTGTAGCACTTTCTACGAAACCAAGTGAAGAGCAACACTACATCACTCATTCTATTAAATTTTATAGGAAAATTTGAATTTAAACCATTGAATTTTTTACAATTACCCTCACTAAATGTATATTTGATACGATCGCTTGCGCTGAGCGATTATAGCATCAGCAGTAATAAATTGGATTTTATACTTGCACTTATGATATGCGTAAATTAACCGCCCCCATGCGCAAGTAATATTCCCACATTTCACCGAAAATATATAATTTCTGTCTCGTATTTTACAGCATCAATTTCGCTGCGAGAAAGACATCCAATTATAACGAGATTGCTGCACCGATGAATAAAAAATTTATTGAAATTACACCTGATTGGTTTTATTGTTCGAGAAATAGTACTTGATTTACTCGTTGAGTCAACGATGGACTGATTATAATAAATGAGTACTTCGATTTAATTCGTAACTCGATGGATGCTCCAGTGAGCAAGGGCTTTCTAGCTAACGCACACCCGTGAAAGTTAAATGCGCGTGCAATTCACGTTTTGCGCTTAATTCTTCCACGAATTCGCTACCAGCGAGAGAACCCAGTGAAATCCCACATACCATACAGTTTACCGTTCGAAGATGAACAGTTTCTCGTTGATTTCAGAGGGTTTGATCCACCAGGACGAGCTATTTTAATTTATCTACCAAACCAGCACCAGATGGTTGAGTATTCAGAATATCAATTAACTCCCCTCCAATTTTCAATTACCCCCAAAATTCAATAGAGACAAACTATCACCAATTATCTATTAAATTCTCCATTAACAAGACGTTAATTTGTTTTGTTCAACAACAAAATCCCTGAATTTTCCACTTTGAAAGATGAAAATTCAAGATTTCACTGAAAATTCAATTATAAAATTATCAAAAAAGTGGATTTCCTTGAATTTTCAAGACGAATAAGGAATTCCCATGAAAATTGACTTAATCATCACATAATGAATAATTGATGAGAAAAAATGAATTTCCAACAGCATAACGTCTGATTTTTTCCATCACTCATGCGATTCGCTCTCGGAATGGTCTCAGGTATTGATTTGACAAGAATTTTCATTTGTATAACATAACTGGAAGATCAACCAGTGGGGGCTTATTATATGTAGCGGCTATCCAAGACGACGTTGTGAGGCAAGTTTTTATCACATCCGCCATCTGCCGACCGCTCGTCATTACCGCGTTAAGTAGTAATCCTTCTTCGGAGCTCCTTGATAAATATAAAGAGGAGAAAAAGATAACGAAAAAGAACAAGTGGCTGAAATAAAAAATGATTATCAACTTTGTGTGAAAAAATAAAATATAGACAAAAGAAAGAAAGGGAGAGAACATAAACGTTAATAGAAGGCTGGGGAAAAGATTTTCACGCTGTGCGGCCACCCTGATGCTTATGGTACAACCAATTGTCCAGTCTTTTACCAAGGCATCATGGAGTTCAGCACACTGCACTTGCATAGGCTACCCTGCAATAATTGTCGCATAAAATGGGCGCATTATGGCGTTATACTCCGGAAAATTACGACGTTACAGTGGAGGTTGCCAGATGCATACTAGGAGCTCAAATGAACCTAGAGGTATGTACATATTCGAGTTATGGTCCGTTTACGGATGAAAATTTGGAATTCATTCAGGAAACCAGTCCTCAGGGGCCTGTCTTTGACAGGCTAATTCCGATAATTGGAAAACTATATACGATATACGAATGGAGAAGCTAATATTTGTTGTTGCATCGTTGTCATTGTTATTATTATTTGATAATAATTGATAACAATTGGAGAGAAACAATTCCCGAGGAAGGACTAATCTATGATCTGTTGTACTTGGCGGTTGATTTGATTGTGAATATTTGTTGAAATTTCAAGGATTGTGTCCTTTTGAGTCATAAAACTCCATTTTTATTCTTTATTTATTGTTTTTATTAATCTTTGGGTGATTATCCTCTGGTGAAGACGTGCATTCCTCGTGCTGATGGAGAATTTTTAATAATATATTAGCAGTTATATTTTAATAAATGAGATAAAACCGAATGAAAGGGGAAAAAATAAATGTTGACAACTTCCGGAATCTGGGTTAGCCACTTCCAGAGTGAGAGAGATTAGACGCGAAGGACAGAGCTAGTCAGTATTTCATATTTCATAATAATTATCATCACATATTCGGGTGGCTCTGTGAAAAAAAAATCAAACGAGAGTTGACTTTTAAAAATTTTCTGGATGAATGGTACGAGAGGAACGGCTTATAATGTCCAATCGATTGGATGTAAGAGAAGGGCAACCCAAGGCTGTAAATGTCAGAGGCGTTATAGTGGAAAGTCCGATAAAATGAGAGATAAAAAGACACAAGCGGGGGAGGCAAAACTACGAAGGTGTACAAACACCAGGTCGACTAGTAAAATGTTAAACTATAGTTGGTATTCCTGTAAATGGCGATCGATGGAGCGGATTTTGAAAATGACGCGTGAATCAACGTATATTCACCCACCGAGCATGTAAATATATTCGAGAAGCGTCCGTTGAGAAACTCAGATTTACAAGAAATAAAATTAAAATGAAGGAGAGAAGGTGAAAGAGAGGGAAAAAAAAAAAAATTTATTGCCGGTGTATTATTTACTGAAAGAAGATGCCGAAAGAGGCTAAAGGTGACTTCAAAGTTTGTAGTACAAACGAGAGGAAAAAAGAAGCCGCGTTGAGCGTTTAAAAATAAAAAATAAAAAATAAAAAGACGTTTTAAGGAGACGAAGAGAAAGAAGAGGATCCGTGGGTGGACCAGCATTACTTGTCTCCTTCTCAAAAACCGCTTTCTTTATCCACTTGGGTAACAGGTGCGCTTGAAGACCTTGGGTCCTTCACTACAACCAGCCGATCGCTAATAAAATCTTTTTCACTTCCATTCGTCTGTTATTGACTGGAATTTGATGGGAAAAATCGTGGAAAATTGTGTGAAAATTTTGTAAAAATTATGTAAAAATTATGTAAAAATTATGTTAAAATTATGTTAAAATTATGTACACCCCATCAAATCGGTGGTTTCCTTTGTATTATTGCCGGAACAATGAATCTGATTCGGGGAAATAATGAAGATACTGTATTTCTACGAGTGGGTCAGCTTTAATGCTGTTACTGAATGTTGCCGCGGTTAGTATTCGAGTAGATGCCAGCGCCCCTGGTATGACCTCGAACTTGAACTCGTGGAGGGTTGTGAAGATCGATACCAGCCACGCGCATCCTCTGACCGATATATTGAATCCCCGGTTTTGCTGATTTTCCGACCTCTCGAAATATTGCCCAGATATTTCTTCCGTCAGGGAGAAATCCACCCCCGGGGAATGAGAAAATCATCCACAACCCATCCACTCCCATCCACTCCCATCCACCTCCTTCCACCTCCTTCCACCCCTTTCCACCCCCTGCCACCCCCTGCCCATAAAAACCAGAAATCGTCCCTCGATTTTCATCACTCGCGATTCCACAATTATCGGGCAAAATTAAAATGACCTGTATTGATTTTATCACTGTTATCAGACCTGGAGGTCGACCACATATACAGATCCCTCGGAAGATGTGCGATAATTCACGATCAAGGTTGAAAAAAATGATGGAGTAGTCGCGGTAAATAATAAAATGCACAAAGTGCATTTATTTTTTTCTATTATCTATTGATTATCCCACGGGGTGTTTCACTCGTGTTTTTCATGTGAATAAATCCCGAAGGTAAAACACTCAACTTTATACATACGTCTTTGAACGAAAGAGGCCTGACTTTACGCAAGCGCGTGTGTACACCGGACTTTCTACGCGGTCCAAAGAGGTTTTAAAAGAATTGGGTAAAGGAGAAAAAGAGAGAGGAACAGGGTAACGGATAAAATATCACCAGGCTCCATCGACGTCCATTATACGGAACACCTGTGGCCTGGCGTACGACGTATGTCTCCGGACTCTGTACTCTCTTTAAATGTATGCATATTGTACCCCTGCCTCCCTACCACCCTCCCGACCCCTCTTCCCCCTATTCCCCCTATTCCCCCCATTCTCCCCATTCCCCCTCGGCCACCTACGCACCCAATGGAAGCCCAAACTCATTATCCATCGGTGAATTAAGTCCCAAGAATTCATTGGGCCCGTGAAGATAAAAAAAATATTCACACGATACCGATATGTGTACCACCGCATGACCCCGCGATCCACCACTCATATTTATTTTCACATTTCTTTAACATTTGCAGTGGAACAATAATTGATGATTTATAAGAGATACACACCGACAGTGATGAATAATCCTCTGGTATATGTGATTTGATTGAGCACGGTAGCTCCTTATTGCCCGGGTCTTCCCATTCGCGCAATTACACCCGAATGGATTTCCTAATTGCCGCGTCGTGAATCGTGATTGCTCACGTTCGATCATCGTGGGCCCACCAGTGCCTTTTACATGCCGGCGGGTTTGTACGTGGTATGTAACGATTTGAGAATCGATAAAAATCGCAAAATGCCCGGAGCCATCGGAGGGCGCGGTCCACCTACTATTACCCACCTGCAGGAGCTTAGGGTTAAATTAACCTAATGGCCCGGAGAAACCTATTATACTCATGTGTACGAGAAATTTAATAAAGCGCGATCAACAGGTCACTCCATCACACCCTTTTCCCCCCTTTTCCCCAATTTTTTCCCAATTTTTTCCCAATTTTCACGCCTTCCCATCGCCACCAAAAAATACAATTGCATCAATTTTCCACTGTTATAATTACAACAATTACTCTGAATCGCAATTAAATTCCTCAAAGCTAAATGTTTTCTCCGGTCTCTCGGGTGATAATTCGGCCATTTCACGCCGATATAAACCGTCCACTCTCGATTTACGTACATGAATTAACAATAGCATTGAACTATGGCCCGCATAGTGTTACCGATTCATCACGCGTAAAATTCCATGCCCTCTCATTAAATTCGTGCAATTACGTAATCAACTTATTAAGAAAAAAAAGTATAGAGTTGGGTAAAATCGGCGTTGAAACGATGAGAGAATAAAGAACAATCTCTTTAAAGCAACAATTCGAATAACAGATAAGGAAAAATAAATTAGTCGTGTCAAAGGGTCAAATGGCGAGGCACAAGAGCGTGACGAGCACGCGTTGTGTCTGCGAACCGTGAAGGTGCCGCGTGTGTGTATATTTTTCATTTTTTTTTTTTTTCTTTCAATGTAAGAATCCATGTGAATTATCCACAAGGACATGAGGGGATTCCCTTTTAACACCTGTACCAGATAAAATGAGAAAAATTGCATTTTCTCAGCACAAGTACCATCATTATCAACTACAATCCTCCATACGCTCCACTTCCGTCGCTTAACGCTCACTACAACGCTTCGGTGATTTGGGTTAAAACGGATAACCGCCCCAGCTATACCTCCATCGACCATAAAAAACACTCCGAGGTCTCTCTACACGTGACTAATATTCGCTAATTGCAATTACACCTCGTGGCCCTTTTACCGGAATTTTCTACCTGTCGCCTGCTTTTCCGCTCCATTTTCCCACCTACGATTCGGTTGATAATCGAAAAATTCAGTCTCCATCATTATCTCCGTCCTTCTATCAGGAGTTCATGAATGAATTGAATGTTATTTTTATGATTAAGTAGTAAAATTATTGAGGTATTCTTACCGGTTAAAATTGTTATCAATTGTCGGCGATGTGCATCCAATTTACACCTGATTAAGTCACCCTTGCACGCAGAAATAATCAGTACTTTTTAGAGATATTGTGTTTTAAGTTAAACGTCTGAAAATATGATTTTTTATTTTCAGATTTATTGAATTATTGTTATTTGTTATTATTACTACACTTTCGTCATGAAATTCTGAAGAGTTACGAGTATAACACTTGTTATCACAGCAATAGAAATGCCTCTGGTGCTGGGGGAGGCTCGAAGGACGGTGACGAGAAAATATATTTTCATAATATAAGACCACGAGAGGCAAATAATCGAAAAATGTGAAAATTAATTTAATGAGATTCCACTGTCATTCACAATATCTCTCAGCTTTATCACAATTCCATCGCCTTCAGATAAATACCGGCTTTGTCATTCCTCGCTACCGACAAACATCGATTGAATACACAAACTTAATTCCCATTTACACACGTAAAATACGACAATTCCGATATTATCCCATCCACGGAATTCCATCAACGGGCCAAACAAATCGATATTACTTCCAAAAATCACTGGCACCAGATTGATAATAAATTACCACTAAACTTATCCAGACTAACTTGAGCACGACGATATTTTATGCGTATGCGATATATATTTTTCACATCCATAAAAAGCACATTTGACAAAGTTCATGGAATTGGTAGAAATTTCACTCGTAGTTTTTCATAAAATGTTAATGCATTGGTTAATTCGTGTACAACACCTGCACGGTGATAATCCAATGTATTTTTTTTTGCCAGATTATGCAAAGAAAAAAAAAAAATTATATACATACAATACGATAGTGTTGGCAGCGCGGTCTCGCGCCGACTGTTTTAGTATCCGTAGTAGCGAGCGTTTGTTCACAAGACTTCGGGTATCCTCGGAGTCCCCACCACGTGTCCTCCCGTCATCCCACACGATAATACAGGAATACCCTTCCCCCCTCTACACCTAAATATTCCTATCCCTCCTATCGTCCATTCTTCAATCCCGCCCGGTCACACACCACCACCTCCACCCCCGTTTGTGCGGCAATGCCGCATGATAAAAGAGAAAGATCCCAGAGAGGGGATGGGAAATATAGTCTCAGACTTATAGTAAGGGATCAGTAGACACGAGGTGGGCGCAGGAACACACATTTACGGCCACGCCTCTACATTTGTCCCTCTCTTTTACATCATCGCCTCTATTTTATCGCTATTCGCATATTTAGATATTCATTTTTTTATTTTATTGTCCCGCTGCGCGTGCCGGATTCAAATTTCCCGCCGAGAGTGCCAACCCATTCGATTGGCCAATGAGGATGCCCGCCGAAGGGGTTCGAGATATATCGACTCGGATGAACTTCATTTGGGAATTTTTGAACTTTAATGAGATGGCGGTTACATCGATCACTCGCTAGTCGATCTCTCGGCTTTCGAGATATTTCCACTCGGGCGAATTTCATTCATGTTTTTGGGAATGGCATGACGGGAAATTTGAAGATTATGGTACTAGGAGTGTAAAGCAGTTTTGGGATTGACTTTATTTATTATTTGGATTCAGAATAATTAATTTTTCTCATTTTTAAAAATTAAGCATTCATTATAACTGGGTATAGGTGTAATGATCTGCACTCATTACGCACTCTTAATTAATCCCACATAATTATTAAAAGTTAGTTGACCCAAGACAGAGTTTCTTGGCGCAATTTCTCCGTTAACAGCACAATAGGTGCTTGACAACATAATTACATTGTATAATAAATAGAACCGTATGCCCACGCTCTCCCAATATAATCTACAATACATCATCACGATTCACGGATTATTAGGCTTAATAAGACTTATTTGACAGTTCTTAAATCACTTACGGCTTTCACAAAAGAAAAAAGGAAATACAGATGAAAAAAATGCAGCACGCGCCCTCCGAAAAAGGCGATGACCGTCACCCTCGCATACATGGGTAATATACATAGGCAGGATACATAGGTAATGCACCTGGGTGCCTTTCACGCCAGAAAAAAGAATATTTCATGCGACTAAAGACGATGCCACACGCCCAAGATGATCCAGCTGTTTGATCTTAAACCCACGCGCCTATACATCTTGCGTAAAAAATCCTGACGATGACATCTGCCCCAATCGATCAACTTTTGCAATTCATCTTCATGTTTTCAGTTAGAACTTGAAATTTTTTTCTCTTCACCCCGAATGAAGGGAATTTAATATTTTTTATTTCTCACCCCATATCAAATCATTATAATCCGCAATAGAATAGTGACAATTAAAAAGGGAATAAGAGAAAATAATTACAAATTTCAATTGAACAGGTATGACGCGATCGGGTGAGAAGAAATTTATTCAATTCAATTAAATAAAGTGAGATATAAATCACGTGTGCAGAAAAAAAAATACATGGCTATCGCTAATTTATTAGCTATATCTATAGTATGTACTGTGCATCGGGAATTTGGTACTCGTTTTATTTTTCCGAGTACATATAACTAACAGGAATATGTACTCATCGACGGGGACCTTCTCAAGGAGACATTCTCTGATCGGTAAGTAAATAGAATACCTAGGCCGAGGAAGGCGTCTCCAAGATCTTTTTTCCGCGAAATTCTGCAGTGCCTAACGGAATATATACACGTATATGAAAAGCAAATGCACGTGAGTAACCACAGTACATACCGATAGACAAGGTTTGTCTATTTACTTGAAATCTCCATAGCAAAAACTTTCCGATATCTTTCATTTTAATTCGTCTCAAGGTGGAGCAGTTGCGTTTATTATTATTTTTCGTACAATCGCTGTCTTTGTCGCTGATCTTTCTGAATTCCACGATTGCATTGCCGTCTATTAATGCATGCTAATTAATTAGCTGGATCTAAGCCGGTCTAAAGATTTTTACAAAGCCGCACAAATCACCGCTTTTACGGGGTTATTCTCGGTGACATCTTTAGGGCTTTTTATTACAGATATTTACTGTCGAAGTCATTTTTCCCTCTCGTGTTTTCTGGTTGACACCTACATAAATCCCTGACCAACTACACGGACCACTGACCAAATTCTTTGTAATAGCGGGTGGTCATTCTTGCTGACAACGACACTCTCCTCAAAAGAAAATTCATTGTAACATTTTACACAATGACTCGTGTTTACCAATCGCCTCTTTCCGACAGCTTGTGCCGTCATTTAATCACCGAAAATTACGAAAACGCGCGTGAATCAATAAAATTATATTTATTCCAAAAAATAAATGGCCAAAAAATACCAAAATCGGTAAAATAAATAGTTAATTGCCTAAAATAAATTTCAGAAGACTTCTAGATTGAATAAAAAATTAATACACGAATTGAATGCATTAAAAGGGAAGTTGTTGGTAATTGGTAATATTCAAGTACCATTTACTTATCAATACCTCCACCGATCATCCACCCCCGCTGATCCCGAAGAATGTGAAAGTTGATGAGTCAGATGAATCTTTCGTAATGACAGAAACAATGAAATAATTCAATAGACACTGTACCTTCCGTGTGGCTGGCAGCGTGACTCGTTCAATTACGATATCACTTATTGTCACAATTACCACTCAATCACTGATTCCACTTTTCGACACTTCGAGCTCGAGTGAATATTTCAAATAAATATAGATGAATCAGGGATAAAAAATTTTTTTTCGCACGACACACCGACTTTATCGTACTTTGCGGATGCAAGTCGCTGGGGATATGTATATCTCTTGAAGTATGTGCAACCAGTGGGTTCACTCTACACCTACACTAGTTTCATTCCCTTCCTCTATAATCCACCCCTCCCACCCCGCAACACCCTTGAACTAGAAGAGGGAGGAGACTGTATGATTCCGTGGGTATGTATTTGTGATTTGATAGTGAATGAACGTTTGTGTACGTTCATATAACGGGGCAGAAGTGGGAGGTAGGACACGCGACAGGACGGCTCATAGAGGGGGAGAAAAGAGATTCCATAAAGAGTGGGGGTATTTTACGTCTTACCGTACTTTAGCTAACGCCCTCTTCATCTTTTTCTCACTCTTTAACGCATAACTGCAATGTTGAATTTGTTGAGTACATGGACCATTCGCCCTTTTGCTACCAAATTCTCTATTATTTTAGCTACGATTCTCCAATGATAACAACTCTTTCAGTGCCATCCCACAGATTTATCAAAATTCTCATTAATCTCCATTTTTATTTACTAACTCTGGGGCGTGACGATAATCACCATTTTTGATGATTTTTTTTTTGCCGCGCGTTTTAAATTTACTCGATACAGAGAATGTGTGGGAATATTTTTAATGGACTCCACGTGTGTCATTTTTCAGTTTATTATGAAAATATATAAATAGTATATTGAGTTTATTGATTCGAATTTAATCCGTTCATTTATCTTTTTTATTTTCAATTATTATATTGTATTATTAATATAAAATGGTGACGTTTGCCGGTATATCCAGATTTTTTGATAAATGTTTAAATAAAGTACCTTTTATTATTGATGAGTGAATAATTCTCGGGAAAAATTCAGGCGGGAATGTAATTTTGGTGGATATACCGCGAAGAAATAATATGCCATACCCATGTAGTTACGATTGAATGACAAAAAAAAAATGGTTACTATATTTGTGAATAATCGAGGTAATAAAAAAAGTGGTTAATGAAGTGTCCGATTGTCGCTGGCGTGGCACTGATTAATTGTCCGCCCTATCGCACTCTCAAGATCTCTCAGTTTAATTTAATTGCTATCGTCGATGTTCCTCTCTTACACCTCGTATATACATACATATATCGAGTGTGGACATGAGTGGTGCAGTGGTTAATTAACAGAGGGGTTACGAACAAGACAATCACCGAGTATAACATCAGCATCTTGAGAGTAAAATAAAAAAAAATTTCCCGGTGATTTTATTATTTTAGATTGAGAACTTTTGCAATCAGGTGTAAAATTGTTTTTTCATGCACCTCTCCCCTTTATAATTACAATTCTTTATGTTTCAGTTAATTAACTTCATATGCAAATATGTAGATACATAAACAATTGTGTACTCCATTCGTCATCCAAACAAGAGCAAATATTCAGTGTGAGGTTCTAGGTCAGACTGTAAAATCCTCTTTCAGAGAGTTGTGCATAATTCATAGGTCCATGGGTAACATGAGATTGGAAGACACTCCAGACAATGAATAAAAAATATATTTATTACATATTTTTATTCGCATCCATCATTATTTACAATATTGTACAAATTGTGTTCTGTACGGCCAGCCCCTTCGAAATTTTGATATTTTCTTTTCTCAGATATGAAGGGGAATGGTAAATTTCCCCCTGTGATTTACCCCTCACATATTTTTATGCTTGGACTTGGCCGGAGGATAGGAATCAAGTTCAATTGTCTCGCAATGGCTTTTGAACCCGTGAGAAAAATTTACGCAGCTGTTTTAACATACATTCTTCTAAACTACTCCCCTAAGTATTTATGACATCACGTGCTCACCTGAATGTACTCTATCTCCGATAGAAAATACGGGGTGTACTTTTGCGGTATGGGAAAAGAAAGATAAACGATGAAAATGGAAATGTCATCTCAGAACGAGGAGAATCGATTGCCCCACAAGATTTTCGTTCATTAATTTATTTTTATTCATAAATTTTCACCTCAACTGAATAATAATCGGAATATTGAAATTAAATCGGAATTATTTCATTGGATTTCTGTTCGAATGATCTGAAAATGATAAAAATAATATTTTTATTTGAATATTCAGGGAAAAATTTGAAATTCATGGGAGTTTATTGGAAATTTATAGGTGTTCGTCGGGTTTAGTTAATTTTTTAAAAATCTATTTATGTGATTTGGTAAATAAATAAAAAATCACCAGTGCAGCATGCGATTTGGGTGCTCGGTTTGAATTGCAGATAATAAACCAGTGGTCATATATATACAATGATGACTGCCATCGATAGCAACGCATCGATACGAGTGAATCGATTAAGTATGCTAAAACTTTCGTGTTGTTGAAATCTGATCATAGAGTCTTATGACCTCAGGGCGTTGTTTCACTCCACGAATAAATCCCCAATAATTCCGCAAAATGTGCAGCAATCGCACTAAAAAGAAAACAAAAAAAAAACAAATTAGAAATACCCGCACAAATACAGTACCCAGTACCCCCAAAAATGGAGTTAAAAAAAAATCTCAATAATCCCCACGACTTCCAATTATTACCGATCTCCCCTCGTGTAATTGCAGTGCGAAATTGAAGTAGCAAAAATATTGAGCGCAATATTCAAGAGAAATGTTTTGAACCTGTCCGAAAAAAAAAATCAGTGGCTCCCACGATGGGATACGGGGGTATTTTTGCTTCCCAGGTGCATGAATTATTTCTCTTCATTGTGTCATTGAACAAGATGGCGAGAGAAAAAAAGGGAAATGAAAGAGCTGGTCTTTCAAGTACGAAGGGAGAGAGTCATTAAGGCAACGAGGAGGGGTAATTCTAGTTGGGGTGTTGGGAAGAAGCATGAGGGGTGGATTTTGAAGAAGGCACATGCGCAGGAATTATCATTGTTTGTGTGGGAATTTTGGCAAGCTGCTATTTGATGCTGCGCAGGCGTTCCCGTGGTAGTCTCCCGCCAAAAATTAGAAATTCCCCCGTATCCCTCGTATCACGGGGGTATGGGAATGTGGGGGGTCGGTGGGAATTCCATCGTAAGTGCATGGGTGCGGAACATTGCGTCATTCAATAGTCAATCTTTTTTTTTCAATAGTCCATTCAAGCCCCAATATATTACATACACTTAATCTATCAGATAACCGGTGGCCATTAATATTCGCAAAACCGTTGCACTTTATATTTTTTCATCCCACCATTTGACAAAATAATTAAATGACATAATTCGATAATTGTTTCAATAATTAATTTCTCAAATGTGAATGGAACTCAGTAAAATTTATGCGATAACATGAAAAATTATCGAGTGATTAAACATTTATTGACAAAGTGGCGTACACGCATAATTGTACAATAGACGATAGAGTTAATGACCTGACGAGACACAATAGGATAACTCCCACAAGTATTGCATTGAGTCAGCGAAAAAATAAATAAAACCCACGTCATAAAGACGAGAGTCAAATAATAAATAACGATTTTTTGTTTTACGGTTACAATTGCGCCGGCAATTGCCCAGAGAAAATTCTGGCGATGATCAATCCCAAGGGATTGCAAAATTGCGGGATTATTTAAATAATGCAAAGGGGTTTTTATAAATAATAATTGTAGAGGGGATGGGGCTTGACAAATAACCACTCGTCAGTTAAAATCCGATGATAATGAGGACCAGTCGAATACCTGTGGACTGAGGGGGTAGTAAGTGCGTGGGATGTAATGATTGTTTCGCAAATTATCCGAGGAATTAGCGAGGCCTTTCTCCTTTGTTCAAAATCCTGAAGCTATTGGGACCTTTTCTGCGTTAAATCCCTAATCCGTGGGTCTGAATTACGAAACATTGGGAACTAATTCATCGGGCATTGAAATCTCCTCATCCCCGTCGCTCCCCGACGCCCGAAAAAATCCCCAAAAATTGAAATAAATCTCAATTCAATGCAGAAAAAAAAAATAAGAGTCTCGTACAACGAACGAAAATTTGCAGTGAAGATTAAAACGAGAGGAAGAGGATCGAAGGGATGCATTTACCTTTCGATATTTCGTTTACGCACGCAAACACGCAATCTTTCCTTTTTCTCTGTATTCTTCACCTGTTGCGAGCTGAATTTCACAGGTGGGTATGTGCAGTTAGAGGGATGAAGCTGGTTAGTGGGCGGATATGGTGGTGTGACAGAGGTAGATACATCTTTTATTCTCAAACCGAAAAGAAATCAAAATAAGAGGTGCCGAATGAGCGGAAAGAAAGGAGATACGGGATAATGGAAAGCGGAGAAAAGAAGATGGGGAGAAAAAAAAGAGACAAGATGTTTAATACTCTCTGGCACGCTAATATCCGTGAGCTGTATGCATGCACGCACCAATCTTCCTCTTTCCTCTTCATGAACTCCAAAATATTATCATTCTTCAGGTTCAGTCATCAGTGACTTTCAAATCATATCCTGCAACAACAAATTAACCCCTCCAACAACAGCTCAGTGATTAATTTCAATTAATTAATAATCACTGTTTATCTGGAATAAATCATCATTATTGTCGAAATTTTTCATAATTATTTTGATTTTAAAATATAATATTCAATTAAATCCGAATATTTCCAAATTTCTCACCAAAATCACCATCCAAATAATAAATTGCGAATCACTAATAAATTTAACCAGTAAAATTTAAAAGCTTACCACAAATATTGAAAAAAAAATAATATTATTGCCAATTTCCCCCGAAAAAAAGTCCGTAAAAATTGATTAGCAAAAACGTCACATCGTTTCTCATTTAATTCCGCGCTCGGCATTGCCAGTAATTACTGAAAATACTGGACAATAAAAAAAAAGGGGGAAAAAAAATAAAATAATGAAAAATGTAGAGAGTTAGTGACCGGACGTTGGTAGCTAAAGAGTAGCCCCTGGTAGCCGGGAAGAGGTAGCCCAAGGCTACTAGAAGATTGCCGGCAGACAGGTGGGTGAGGCACTCTCTCCACTTGGATACCAAAGGCCAGTGGATGAAAAGACCAAGAAAGAACATGGTAAAATGCCTCCAACGCCACCACCTTCACCCTACCTTGTGCCTGACTTGGCAAACGCCTCCACTTAACTGCACGCAAGGCCTTACATATTTTCAGCTCGGAGCAACCAGATCTAAAGAAGTAAGACCTCTTTTCGGCCGGTCTTTATATCCTGCACCAAACATATTAGCCATAGATTTATTCAGAGCTTCACCTTTTTCTCCTACACTCACCATATAATATTGACTGCTGTAAAACTCCAGTATATGGACTGATTTTTTCAACGTTAATTTGTGGATAATTTGTGAATAATCTACCTGGACACCGGCCCTTTAAGCACACAGTATTGGAATTAATCTGGATTGACCTCTGCCCTCTCTTCCGGTTCCGGTGTTGATCCCCTTGATGACCACCGAACTGTCTCGAGAATTAAGGAAATGCGAAATCATCTGGAGATTTTGCAGATTGTTTATTGATGCTCTTGAATTTTTATGCATGATTCAATGGTCATTTCATATGTTATCGGTTTGCTATGAATAATTTCAAAATTTCCATAGAGATGAATTTAAATTGATCCGTTTTTTCCGTTAGGAATAAAACGCTAGACAATAAAAGTGGAATGATCCGCATTATATGCTGCAATTGTTATGTATTAGAAGTGTTTACTTTCTATGAATAATGATTATTAAAAGGTGCACATGAGGATTGAATGAATTACAACTATGGCTTCCACCAAGTTTCATTACATGCAGATTAAAAAATAAATGGTGAAAAAAAAATTACTGGACGTTGAAATGTGTTGGTTGAAAAAATATATTCTATCAATTTAACCCATTACTTTGGTTATTACAGTTATTTTATTTATTTTAACGACAGCCTACGGCTCGATTGCAGATGTGACCGGTGGTACTAGCGTTGACACTTATAATTCAACAATTCCCCATGAAAATAGGATTTTTGCATAAAATCGCGTAGGAATAATGCGCGTTAAAGGCACAGCTATGGAAACAACAAAGACTCGAGAGATATTACGAAGGCTGTAAAAGATCTACGATGTGGGTTTTGTGGCTGTGGAGACAAGGGATATATCCACAGAGAGCCATTACACACCATAAATTTTGTAGTTATTATTTTTCTTTGGACATTTTCACCACAAAGCCACATGCATTCTCAGCGTTTATATTCAAGGAAGTTGCGTCGAGTAAATAGTATGTTCAATATCATCTTGCTGTAAATTCTCCAGTGAATTTAAAATTCAAAATTATGTCCAGTTAATCTGAACAGTCCATTGGTCAACTCCTGGTCAATCGGACTGCTGCTACTGAATTGAAACATTTCTCAAACTAATTCGATTTCGATGTTTGTACAATTGACTGACGTGTAATTAGTTTTCAAACAATCCAGGAGACCAACCCTCTCGTGGTGCTGTTACCTTGTAATTCACAGCACATGCGGTCAGCTTGTCAAGGACTGGGGAACGGATAAAATGTAATCAAACGGGGGGAGTAATGTTGGGGACACCTTGCAAATTGATCCTGAGTCAATGCAGCCTTCGAAATTCACGTTGTTGAATTTTTTACAATATTTCTTAACTTTCTTTCTTCAGGGGATCGTTGTCACTCGAAGTCAGCTGACACTTTCAGCTCTCGTAACTCCCCAGGATCACATACGATAAACCATTTTGAAGCTTATGAAAGCTTTCAACTTTCAGCTTTCAACTGCTTGTTGATCCATCCTCATATCTTCATCCCCGCAACAGTTATGATTTTCCGAATCTCTATTTGACTGTAAAATGTGTGACACTGTGTGTCATTCGCACTTTTTGTTGTGTTGCTTTCATAATTTTAGGATTCCTCACGTAAATACATATTATATACAATCCCATTATATCCCGAAAGAAGAATCGATCTTGAATACGTTGCACTAATTTCCTGAAGTTTTACACTTTTATTGAGACGAAGTTGTTGAGAAAAATATGGAATTCAGGGAACGACGGAGCTAAAAAAATAATGGATATATGCATAACTTTAAAATATATTGGTACAATCATCACATAGGGCATTACTCAGGCCATATTAGAGTGAACGGCGCCCCTAAGGCTCAAGAGTTTCTTGTGAAAATGTGTGGCATTAAAAATCTTGTGCGAAGAATGCTGCGACGTTTTGTGCCCAAGGCGCGTGCCGTGGTTCCGGCTAATACTGCATTCAGCTTCGTATTCACGATGCACTTATATAGGCTGAGGTATTTGTAATTCTAATGGCGAGGGACGACTTCGAAAGAGGCTCTCATAATGATTGGTAAGAATTTCATGCTTAAGGCCCTTTTAAGTTTTTACCAATTTGTCTTTTTTCATCAATTTTTCTCCCCCCGATATTTTGGATACGGAGAATTTCCGGTAAATTACAATTCCGCCAGCACAAACTGTAACCCATAATGGGTGTTATTTTTATTAATTTTTTGGTTTCGAGTTTTCGAATTTTCATCCGGAGTATTTTTTATTTAAAAATTTTCTCGGGTCGATGATGAAATGTATGAGTTGAAAATGTTCTTGGAGTACAGATCAGGTCGGGTCATATCAATCTATTACAGAATTAAATAATTGTTAACATTGAATTCAGAGAATAAACAATCGTGTCAATGATCAGACGTTGCGTATGTGTTATACGGAAAAATTCATATATTTACAAGAAGACATTAATTCATAGCACCAAGCTGGTTGTTTTATATTATATTATAATTTTCCATGATTTTTTTATGTACAAATTTATTACTGCAAATGAAAAATTAAAAGTGACTATTACACTCCCAGAATTTGCTCATTTGGATTTCAGGCTCTTGAATCATGTAAAATAATCACCAGCTCGCAGGTAAATGCGATTGTTTTAAACAATTGTTCATATTTTTCTCGATTGTTTATTGATTCCGTCGCGAGACTTTTGATTTTTACGGGGCGTCAAAAGCTCGGAGGAATTTTTAAAGTGCGAAATCAAAGATTTAGTAGATTATGTACTAATTGCAGAGTAACTTGGATTATTTTTCTTGCATTAATATTAAAAATAATTACGATCACAAGCGTTCAGTGAAATTTCACTGGAATATTACATGTTTTTTTAGTATAAAAACAATAAATTTTGGCGAACACATTCAATTATAGTTCATTGGAAGATATTGTTTGTTCAGGGTATCACGAGAAGGAGTTAAAAGCGATGGGCAGTAAAAAATTGAAATCTCATCTACTGCATGACTGCAATTCCGAAATAAAAATCACAAATATAGTTATTGATTGACCGAATCTCCAGCTGCATCATTACTGCATCATAATTTTATGATATTGCACAATATTGCACTAGGCAAATTATTTTCAATAACTACAACGGTAAATTATACTTTCTCAAAACGAATGAGCGTCAACTCATGAATTTATCTCAATTCAATAAATTAGAATTTGGATTATCCATCAATCATGAAAATAAATTAACATATTAGCGTAATTATCGAAAATTATGTTCACTACACGGAGATAAATACTGGAAAAAGTACGTGAGAAGTTTCGTAAAAATTACTGCTTGAAGCGTAAACATGGGGTGAACGGAAAATTGACGAATCAGTTCCGTAGAATTTGCTGTATCGTTTTGTTTTTGTACAAGCGAGATTTCAGTTGATGGCCTCTGGCATGTAAGACAAGGATCTTACCCATACGCTGGAGGTTTGTTATTGTTATTGTGTCGATCGTCACTCCACACTTTGTCGATGAGTCAACAGAGCTACCGAGCTACGTCTTTAGAACCGTAAAAAGCACGGTTTTAGTCACGTGAAATTTACGTGAAATTTACGTGAAATATACGTGAAATTGAGTAATCATTACGTTCAACGTATTTTTTATTTAAAACAATAAGTGTAACGAGTCCGGAAAAAAAAAACGTGACAGCACCGTAAATTTACCGCAGCAAATAATAAAATTTACTGTCCATCTCTTATTTTTAACCGCGATCGTAGATAAAAATTACTGAAATGATTCTTCAGCCGATGATAACGTGACTCGACACGTACTTTTTCCTGTATTTTTCTCTCCACGTATAATAATGAAGCTTGCACAGTTCATTGATGACTCAATGATGGAGAAAAAGGAGAAAAGGCTATTACTGGAATAACTGGGACTTAACAAGGACTAGGAACTTGAGAATTCGCAGAGTTTCATGGACTCACGTACTACGTAGTCAATGAGAAATAAAATTGTAAAATTATAAATCTAAGGCAACATATGATACTCTCGTTATTCCCAGGCATTATACTGAGTTGTAATTGTAGGAATGTTAATATTCATAAGTTTTTCATTATAATCACAGCACTCGTTCAATTTCACTCGTCTCGTTGCACATAATGGAACTATCCAATAGCTTCTTTGAGCGCTGACAATTGTTCCTCACCAAGTTTTACTTTATCCTGAAGCTCTCGACTATCCATTATCAATTTTGTCTTCATATTGATGAAGTGTTGATAGTCCGCGAACTCCTCGTCGTTCAAATATTTCGATAAAATTGCTGAGACGTTCGAACTGCGTTTGTCGATGTTGATTTTCAGAATCTTCGCTTCTTCGAGTTGTTCGAGCAATTTGTCGCGCTTGCTCTCCAATATTTTCTGATAAAAGTATTAATTAGTTCAATTAATTAAATAATAGATTGAAATAACCGCAAACGGTGTAAAGTACCTTCTCAGGATGATCTGGGGACATTCCATGCAGGGCATTTTCCACTCTTGCTAATCTGCCACTGAGACCCAGGAGAAGACTCGTGATCTTCCCCACTTCCTCAATATGCAATCGGAATTTAGCGATTTCGGCTGGTCTTGCCACCGCGGAAATTCTCGTTGTAACTTTAGCCCCAAGTGCTTCATTCGTCTCGTCTTCTTCGCGCACAGCTTCTTGTTCAGCCCGCAACACCACGACTTTGCGATCTAACCTGAGTACAAGCTCCTCCTTGGAAATTATAATTACATTAATCACAGTTCAACCCCTCATTATTGGACAGCTATTATGCAAATTATTACCTTCTTCTGCCTCTGATCGTCACTCTCAGTACTAGTATCACTCAGCGATAGTTCACTCATCCTCGCAGCTTCTCCATCCATCATTTGGTGTGAATATCTAGCAAGAAATCTAGCTTTACATTCCGAAATGGTGAAATATTCTGATGTCGGAGATAGTGAAACGTTTGTTTCGTTTGATTCTCTTCCATTCCTACTCAATGAAATAAATCGGAAAGAATAAAAGAATGAATCAAACTCGAGAAAGAGGAGTAAGCTATCATCCAATCAATTTTTTTGACCTTTCAAATTAATAATGAAAACACTCACTGATGCTCCTCATCTCCTTCAGCATCGGTTCCTGGTGAATAGCACTCCGAGGACTTGAGTCGAGGATTTATCGCGGCTTGTACTCGAAAAAGATCCGAAACGTAATCTGTCGATCGTTTGTGGTTGGGTGTCGGTACTAAAATCGTAATTCAATTATCAATCAATAGATCACCTTCTGTTCTACCTATTGACACGGGTCAATCTATGGATTATTAATAACAAATAATAATAAATGAATACCTAAAATGGGAACTAGCTTGTCATGAGGCGCCAGTTGATTAACAAGATTCTTACTCAATTCTTCACACTCAATTTCCTCTGGCAATTTTTTCCTCATCTCTGGAATAACTCTCTCACTATTATTATCCCCCGGTTCTACAGCTTCAATAACTTCAGTTTGCGAAGCAGCATCGAGTGTTGCATTAATTCTGAGAATGACTTCAGTCCTCTGAAGAAGTCTCAACTCTTCAATGCCGGGTTGAGGTGACACACACGGAGAGAATTCAATTCGAGAGCATTGTGATGATATTGATGAGTACGATAAATCAGACATTGTCAAATTACTCGACAGCAATGGTGACCTCGATTCAGACTTTGTCCACGAATTTAGTCTTTGACTAGAACCATCACTCTGTGAATTCTCAGGCAATGCGCTCTCAGAATTATTCCCATGAGACGAATTATCGTGATTATTCACGAACAAATCATCGTAATCAATTGTCTCATTAGGTCCGGGGGACGAGAAGCTCTTCGACGTTATTGATCTGTCACGATTATTGTTATCATGCAACTCTGCATATTCAAGTGGTACAGCCGATAATGACGATGAATTAACATTTATATTTTCATCATTAGTATTTTCAACACTCTCAACTTCACCGACAGAACCTGCTGTCGAGTGATGGTTATTAGAACATGCATTGTTAGAAACCTCGCATTCCACTTTACTCGGTGTCATTTCAATGGTTACCTTTTGTGCGGGCCGACTATCCTCAGTAATTTCTGAAATTAATTAATTGTCAATCAACAGCTCTAAGCTACAACAATATAACCAAGTGTTTACCTATTGGAGTCATAACTGAATGATTTTCATCCCCTTCCCAGTGATTATTTCTCTCCATTTTATTATCTCTTTGCGTATTATCGTTAGTCATAATGATATTCATGTTATTCTTATCAGATGTTGAATTAACACTTGATATTATCGATCCATTCATTCTCCCTGTGAGAACTCCATCGTGATCGGTATGTCGATCGAGTGTCTGATATTGCAATGCGTTACAATTTATTTGACGTACAAAGGGATTATCGCGCTTAGGGTACGTCGGCCATTCGTGTCCATGACCTGGTACCACGGAATTTTTGTAAGTTTTGTTATCTGGGTAGGAATTCTTCGAGGATTTTCTAGAATAAAATGATTTTGTAAATATTACAATCATACTTGTAATGGAATTAACAATTCAACCGTGAACATGATCAATCGATTCTTAATCAATAGACTCAATCAATTCAAACAGCACTCACCTATGAAATATTTGACCAGGTGGTGCTGGCCGTGGCGGTGGAGGCATTGATTTACCTCCCGACATGTTCTGTCGTGGTGCTAATGGCGGTGGTGATAATGAATTTAAATGTGTGTGCGATAATTGCGAAATTTTTGGTGCATCAGTGCTTTTCAGTGGTGGAGCGTAATGAGTTGATTGCTGATAATACGGAAAATATTGCGATAACTCGTCGTACTTGCTGGATGCTCTATCCTCCGACGACTTGCAATTGCTCTCCGGAAACTTGTTTCCAGGCTTTGACGCCTGTCTACTGATGGATAGTGAGTGATTCCTGGAAACCTGCGGCTGGGGTTTTTGACCCAGAGTGAGAGTTCCACTGTCGTGTCTCCCAGTGGAGATTTGGTTAATGCCCCACGATCTGAGTGATCTCCTAGGTCCACCCCTTTCGTGACACCCCTCACCACCATATTGCTCCGATATATCAGATATTTTTGTAGATAATTTGATATTATTCATTTCCGTCCCACATCTTGCCGACGAATACCGAAAACTCGATCCTCTGAGAGACACATGGGGGAATCCCTCATTATTCGGAACGAGTGTTCTCTCGTATTTCATTCGTCGAATAGTATTACTCCCATTCACATTATGATCTTGATACAGTGAATTCGTTTTGCATAAATCCAAAATGCCATCGTGCAACTCCGCGGGAGGAGGAGGCAAGGGCTCATCACAATTGAATACTTCATTATCAGTAACAGGTGGTGGCGACGGTGGAGGTAGATCAGGACTCGGTATTCGATCGGTATAAAGTGACCTCAGGTGAGGTTTTTTGGGCGGTCGTTCTGGCACCCAGTCGTCAATGGAAATGGCTGTTCCAACGATTACAGGCCCTAATAAAGCGGTTGAAAGACTTCCACAGCTGTTACTGTGTTTGTGTTTCGGACTCAGTGAATCCGACGTGTTACTCTTTTGATTCGTCTGATGATGATGATTGTTACTGCTCTTGCTATTTTTACTCCGCCAATTGCTATTCGCGTAATCAGAAGCCGAACTCGCTCGCCTCGGTGACGATAATTTTGAGCGAAATGGCGGCTGAGGTGGTGAATGCTGAACTTGAGGCACACCCTGAACGAGCTGTGGCTCGGATCTCCAGGAGGATTGATGATGTCTCTCGTAGAATGACAACAGAGCCTTTTTCTGAATAGCTTTAAGCGTTGGATCTGATACCCGATGACGTTTGTCTGGATCCAGATAAGTGTACCGTATTTGTTGTTTCTCCAATTCATCGACTCGTTCCGACACCGACAGATGATTTTGCTGAGGTGAAATTGCCGAAATCGTTTGATTACTGTGAACAGACGAGGGTGACGATGCAGAATGCACTTTCCGTTGACCGCGCTTTTTGTCCAAGTACAAAATACTCTCAGAGTGATGTCTCTGCGGTGTCTGAACTCTCGAGCTGTGCGCAATCAATTGTTTACTGCCGTGCACAGTGACATTGGCTTGATCAATATCAGTTGCGTCATCAATGACACCCCAATCCTCTTTGTGCTCGTTCAAACTCGAATTTAATACACTCGTTTTACGCATCAATGAATTTGTCTCTCTTTTATTGAAATATCGCTCATCAGTACAATCATCTTTCGACATGGATGTCATTTGACACACGCCATTACTGACAAAAGTACACTGACTAATTATTCCAGATAAACACTCGTTACCGATAACTTTCGCTGATTTTCCGTTATGATTATTTTTACTTGATTGACACTTGCAGTCGTTTGTCAATTTTTTAATAGTCTCGTTAACACTGTTCACATCAGATAACGATGAGTGCGGCCAATTTTCGGAGCTCAAACGACGCGCCTGAAGTCCAGAAGACACACTAACATCAGACAATGATCCATGCCACTTCAATGTCTCGCTGCTTGATGCACTGCCACCACTTGATGTTGTCACAACACTGTCTCTACCTTCGTGAGATATATCTTCCCAGGTAGATAGATTCGGTCTGTGCGCAACAGCTTCGCTGTCCCTTCTCAGTCTAAGATCAAATTACGAAAGATTAAAAGAATCGAGTGGACTAGAACTAAATCATCCCTTATCATTGAATGGGCATTGCATTAATATCTTCTTATCAATCCCATCGCTTACCTATCCAAAAATGGAGTGTTGGTCGTTGAATCAAGACTAGACACATAACTGTGATAGCCCTCAGACTGTGCATAGCTCGGCTGATGGTTGTGCTCAACTCTTGTAAAATCATCGAGCCCTTCCTGAGGCAAAGTTGCACCATAACAGTCGATCTATCCAAAAAAAATAGCGATATAAAATCTCAAGATTCGATAAACGACGATTCGCTGATTCGGAAAGCATTGTACCATACTTGTGATTCGGGATAATTCCGGATGTACGCCTCGAAATCTGCATGAGTAAGTGTTTGAAGTGGCTGATGCTGTTCGCGTTCTGGTGGTGATGGTACGACATATCCATTATCACCATAAGCTTTTCCTTCTCTATCAACGCGGGGCCAGACTCTGAGCTCTCGTTGCTGATTGTTGGAAAAATTTTTTCGCGGCTCAAAAGACTCAGCTGGTATTTTTTCACACTTCTCCATTACGGTCTTGAGCTGCTGGGTGAAGGTGGGAGTGGGTCGTTTGGTCAACGGTCTTGTGTATTGAACTAGTTTTTCTTTTGGATAATTGGTATGATCAGTCCATGATTTCGATCTGTGGGAACCTAGTGCTACATTACAGCCCGCTGTTTTCTCCTCACTATCTCTGATACTCGGCCAGGACGGATATTTCTCATGACCTGGGCCATAACAGACACTCTTGAGACTCGATGCGTCGCGAACTGGTGGCGTTGGAGGTGGCGATTGCGCTTCTCTTTCATCGTGCACCAAAGTAAAACTATCAAAACCAGAGCTCTCGGTGTAGCTGCAATTTATATTGTACCATTAACATCCGAAGTGACAACGATATTTATTCACCCCGTATTATTATTCTACCTGTAAATATTTTCATCACCATTGGAATGAATCGAGGCCTCGTCCTGGCCGCGATATCCAGATAAAGACGTCTGGAGTTCCGTCATCGCGTGATACGCACTTCCGCCATCTGGAATATCGCTGAAATAATAAAAATTTGATTGAATTTTTTCGTTGTTATTCCATTGGAATGAAGACTAGTCCCTCCGAAGGCTTTGCACATTTCATAATGGAAATGATGTGTGAATTTTATTATCTATACAACACGTATTAATGATGAACCAGTCGCTCCAGTTGACTAATTATCAAAGCAATTATCCAAACGATCTGGGGTTTGTTCGAGGTAGTTCTAATCCTTTGTTGCAGAATGCGGCACACGAGGCAAGAAAAAATTCACCTCAACATGTAATATCTACAAATAAAGAAGCGCGCATATCACAAGGGATTTCTTGTTCATTGTTTTTTTTTTCCCCTTCACCGATGTAAATTTTCCGGTGCCGTGATGCTGATATAATACGTATACTAATTGATGGGCGTTAAAAGTATGGCTTCAGAAGAAAGAAATACCGACAGAGATTTTTATCGAGATACCCCTGAAAACATATGAAAATTCCTAGTAAATGAAAGAGTAAACAGTGTGATTAAATTGCTGGAGAGACTGTACGAGCTCAGATGGATGTTGTTAGGTACCATCTACTCGTTGGGTTGAACAAGGGAAGGGGTAGAAAGGACGACAGTAGTGAATATATCGGATGAGGTTAGGTAACGGTTTCTGAAGTAGTTGAAGAGTTGCCGGGGAAGACACGGACACGACGTCTACCTGTAAGGTCCGCATGATCCACATATATGGATACATTAGGATGGAAGTTGGGCGCATGGGAAACTGTCTTCTCTTCCCCGTCAGTTGTCTCGGTCAAACCTAGGACTTTTTGCCTCCGACTCTAACGAGGTGGGTGGAAGAAAATTGAACCATTATCGAATTGAGCAATTCCGGGGAATCCCGCAATTAAATCCAAATGAATTCCCCTATAAATCCCCCAAATTCGTGTGAAAGTGAAGATTTTTCGTTGTCCACCGGTTCTAGAATGATCTCTCATTGTCAGGACAAAAAAAAAATAGAGGCTGTGGGGGATTTGATGCAGAAATAATGCTGAGATAATGTGGAGATATTTTTTTTATAGTTATGGAGTTCTTGAGAGAATGAAATAGCTTACTTATGGCAAGGGTATACGAACCGAATGAACACGATGTAGAGGCATGCATGGTAGACGGAGTTGGCGCCCTTGACAGCGAGCCTTGCCCTGGCGTCGTGCTTTTGTAACTCCTTCTTTGTGTTGAAGACTACGCTATATTCAAATTCACGAGCATTAGGGGAATAAAAAAAATATCCACACCGATAATCATTAGATATTTGAAAGTTAGGGTAAACCCTAATAATTTTAATGAACATGTGCTGAGTATATACACATAAAATTCCTCAGTTTAATCGGCCGCTTGTATCAGTGGGTGTTGTATTTAAGCGTTGTCACCAAGTATTACGCTTAGTCATGAATAATATTAAGAAAAAACTTATGATCCATTAACGGGTGTTGAAATATTCGAAAATAGAAATCCCATCGACTTATTAAATTACACTCCAGTCGAGCGATATCATTTTGGATGAATCATTAACAGATGCTTATGCAATTCGTTGTGTAATTATGAATTTTCTTGGTACATTGTGGAAGGATTATCTGCAGAGGGATAAGTGAATTGCTGGATTGAAAATAAATGCGGTTACGGATTTATGATTTTATAATGGATTCACTTCGTGCTGGGATGAGTGGAATTCACGGTATGATTTTCTCTCCGAATTTGAAAGGGATACGTGAGCTTTGTGCTTGGCCAATTGCGCAAAAATGTCTGTTGATAGATCACGTTAATGCGTTGAGGTCTCTAAATGCACAGCCAAAAGATGAAAAACCAGTTGTACAACTTTCGATATGCATTTGTTCCCCTCCAGGGCAGGCTAACTACAGACCTTGAAGACATTTGAAATAAATATCGTAATCTTTTGTCCGTTACTCCATTCCCTTTGGTACCTGCCCTATGTCCAGAATGAGTTGGAGGTGACCAATGAGATTAGCAAACCCACGTGGAACAAATTCCCTGGGTTGAATATAATAGTCAAATATCGGGGTAATAATTTCGAGTGGAAAGAAGACAGTTGAGTCATTTGATCGATTACATGAGTATAAATCAGGGATTTTAGATATCGAGTTATAAATGGAGATATGTATAACGTGCATGAGGAAAACGTAGAGTGAATAAGGAGTAGAGGAGTAGAGGAGTAAAGGAGTAGAGGAATAAGACGAATAAGAGGAATAAGAGGTTGAGAGAAAAGGAGAAAAAGTTATCATGGGGAGCATGGGAGTGCTGCTTTAGTAGAAAGTAACGCCGAGGTCGACGGAGAGACAATGAAGGCAAGTCGAAAAGTAACTCCACTTCTCAACCGCCCCCTACTCAATGTACATTGATTCGCGCTTGTAAACTATGTGAAATAAATGCACCGAGGGGTTCGTTAACGGTTTATCCACTTCCAATGAAAATTCAGCAAGCGTTTCCCACTATCTGCAAATTACAAATCCAAATTTCTTCATCGCTCTCCGCACCTTCTCCTCAACATCACAATGCCCCCTAATCCTTTGCAAAGAAAAAGAAAACTCTCAATGAGACACAATGAAATTTTATAAATGCTGTTAAAAAAAAATTATTGATACCTGTGGTACTGCTGAATTAACTTTCGTATTCCCTCGATTGGAATCACCAGCGGATTAAATTTCCAGATTCAAATGTAAAGCGCGGGGGATAATAACAAACAAGATAAATTGATAAACTTCATTGTGCACTGGTCTTCACATTGATAACACTTAACAAAAAAATGGATAATTTTTTTAAATGCGGGAATCACGGGTGTTCATTGTGATCGATTGAAATGGTGAATAGGTGTTGATTGTTGAGGAATTTTTTGGGTAATAAAATGTGAAAATTGTTGAATCACTAATTTCAGCTTCAACACGCGCCTTACGCGGTACTGGTAACCACTCCAGGCGAATGTCGAGGTACGACTGGTGCCGAAGATAACCGAGTGGTCTCTCGGTGAAAAGAGTGGGGGTATATTCGAGTTAGCTTCGAGTATAATCGTTATATCTCGATATTTGTTGAGACAGTTGTGTATGTGGGATACCTGTATGTACGTGTACAGCTATACTGTACAAAGCCACAACAACACATCTTTTTCGTAGTGAAAAGAAAGACAGAGGAGGGTGATGGTGGATGGAATGTGCGCGGCGGAAACCGGACGGACTCAGGAATCGGGATCGAGTGTTCTCCAACCACTACCGATGACGCTTTGAAGGCAACCCAAGGCAAACGACCGCTATACCGGCTTCAATCCTCGCACATGCCGGCTCCGATGTTACAGTAGGAACCGAATAAGCTAATTAAAAAAAATAGTAATCACAAGAAAATGCTGCAAATCTCTAACGATCTTCTCATGATCACGAAATCGATAGATAAGAAAATCAAATTGCACCCCCTGACATTTTTTATTTATCATTTTTTACTCATTTCAATTTTTTCCATTTTTTCCATTTTTTCCATTTTTTACCACTGAGTCATTATTCAGTGATGACTTTGTTATTTTTTATGTATTAATTATTACCGATTTTGTTATTCTCAGAATGTTAAAAATTTGGGAGAATTTTTGGTAATGAGTCATTTTATTACTGTAAATAATATCGTTATTGATTCTGAGGTATTCTCGTCGGATTAAATTTAATTGCACGAGTATGAGTATTAGATGGTGTTGGAATATAAAAAGATGGTGGGTTTCTTCGGTCGTATCGCCATATATAACAAGTTAATCCCACGTGATATGTATCTATATGTTTCAGGATGACGTGAACGCTGGGTGAAGTTGGTGTCATGGTGAGTTCAATGCTAGGTCATTATGATCTGTCTCATTTATCATCTCCATCATCTCCACTAATTCGTCGCGAAGAGTCGCTCCCTAAATACCGAGAATTCTTTCCTCTTTTTTTAAATAACCCCTAATTACTCATAATGACGCAACTGTTGACAAACAGAAATCATTTCATCGCTCATTACACGATCTCGAGGAAATCTGATTAATGGGGTTATTTTTTGTATCAGAATTGTGCAATTCTCCGAATATTCAGGCAATACCGATTTATTCTCGATTTCTCTCGATATTTTGGCGATTCGAGTGGTCGCACCGAATATTTTCAGCGTTAAAAAAACGTAAGACTGCCGCAAATAAGATGTAGACAGGGTACATATGTCTGCATACCCGATGTATATACTATTTGAGGCGTACACATTGTATACCACCATCTCTTGCTGACCATCTGCCGTAGAACCAAGGACGTCGAGTTCCTCCTTCCTTTCAGTATAAATCCATCCTATAAAGTCGATACATTTTGGTAAATTTATTTGGTAGGAGTAGATAAAATGCGATCTGATAATTATCACTTGCGCGATTGTCCAGTCCATTCGTAATATTCTAGAGTTTATTTCATACCTGGGAAGTACTTTCTGCTCATTATTAAAAGAATCGATCGAAAAATATCAATATCGGTGAGGTAAATACAGATGATTATTCCACCGTGTCAATGAACTCGACTGGATTTTTGCGCTGAAACAAGGAAGTTGATTCTCATTCGTGGGCCACGACTTCTGGAGGTTCCAGTTGTCATTATTCGCACACACAGGTCCACACACGGAAAAGTCCGGTTTCCGAAGCTCGCTTCATCAGTTGTTTTGTTTGTTCATTTATTCAACTCTCTTTCGCTGGGATATAAGGAATTATTTTCATTTTTATCCATCCAGATATTTTATTGGAAATTAATTCCACGCGCTCATTACCACCATTAAATAAAAATAGCGAATGAAAAAAAGAGTGGATTCCATAAAAAATTCAAGCACACTAGATTATTTAAAAACAACTGATTTTATTGGCTATTATACACAAATACTGAACTTTCATAGATAATCGAATCATGATTTGAACTCGTCCGATTGAGAATAAAATTTAGTGTATATGTTACACAATGATTGCACGAGGCCCCCATCACAATTTATCCTAACAAACTCATCGACTACATTGGTAAACGAAGCACACCAATCGACCTTTTCAATTGAGGCATTATTGAGCAATGTTCCAGGAATATTGTTAATGTAAAAAGCTGATTCGATTCCACACAATAATCTCCAAGGAGATTCATTCCATCATTTCAGGCTACATATGAATAATAATCGTTTAATCATAATAAATACATTGATAACATGAGACAATAGGCTATCGGTTCAGCAATCACATTGGCCATTCGCTTGTCGGAGTAGGAAGCACCCATTTTACATTGAAAATTATTTAACCGTACCGCTTCTAACGATTTATCGTCTGTGAATCGGTACTGCGTATTTACCAAACATAAAAACTTGAGAATCAATACGAAAAAATATTGTCCAAGCAATTGCAAGCGATTTTTTTCACTCGTCTTTGTCATCAACTCTACACGAGTGAGAAACCCCATGGCAACAGTCCGGAAATATCCTATTTCCTGAGAAATAACCGCAGATATCTTCGTCTTTTGTTGTTCTCGATTAAAAAACAAATTCATTCACACCACCAAATAGTGAACGGCCGAATCCGCCATTTCAACGATCAGATCTTATCGTATGAGAGAATATATAACATTTACATTGATAAAATCCTCAACAATCAGTCATATCACAAAGTTCATTTCTATGATTTTCCTTTAGTGCCTAGTGAGTTATTCACCTCCGTCCATTTTAATGAATAATATATATGAGATAGACTTTTTTTTTAGAGTATAGAAAAAAGAGAATATCAACAAAAAAAAAGTATTTACATCAATGAAATACGAAGTATCATTAGTCACCATAAAAAATATCCGTAATATCGAGATTCTAATGAATTATTCTTGAGTCTCCTGCCTATCATATTACACTTTTTTTCTCAATGAACAATAATGTTCTCCTGAGTCACTAAATTCCCGTACAATTGTACAACGGTGAACACCGATATCTCATCGACTTACCAACGTAAACGAGAACTGGTATAATTTATACAATTATTTATGGAAAATATACTCATTATTATGACCATTAGGATTGTCAGGTGTCCCCTAACAATCTTCCCCTCTCTGAAATAATCAATTTTTAAAATGAAATGACAATATTCACACGATGAAAAGTGAAAAAAAATTCGCGTCAGACGTAAACTTCGCCCCTCTTGATTCCACTTGAACATCCGGCAGGCCCATTACCGGTTAACATTGACGGATTTGTACTAGCAGGTGTACTAATTCTCCTCTGAGACTCTTGAAGTCTCGGTCGAGGTAAGTCCCCACCAACGCTACTCGTTCTTTGTCTCCCCTGTAGATTCGCTATTCCGGAAGACACCGCGAGAAGCGAATTTATATGTTTATTTGTTGCTGAAATTGTTTGAATTTCGTGTGGTAATGACAGACTCCTGTCCTCTCTGAGTGGCATGGTAGGGGCTGATCCAGGCAGTGAGCTAGACCGCCTTCCCCTAGCATCAGATTGTGTAGTGGATTCATTGGTTTTATGCTCACCTGTTGATCGATTCTCATGATCCGTGCCTATGCTCCCATTTCTGGAATTGCTTGTATTGCTACCACCAACGAGTCCCTCCTCCTCACTGCTATTGACCTCAGTCAAAGTAATCTGGCAATTGCCATTCGATTGTGGCATCGATGCCGATGTAGTTGTGACAAGACCTAATTCAGTCAGTTGACTCATTGTCACTGGAGTTAGAGTAACTGGTGTGACTAATCCAGCGCTTGTGAGAGTCGGTGGAAGAACAGCTTGAGCAAGAGCTGCAGCAGTACCACCTCTGGCAACGGATGGAGTTGACTCTGTCTCTTGGATCGGTGATAAAACAACTTGCACCACTGGCAGATCTGTTGCATAAGAGCCATTAGTCGTAGGTATAACACCTACAACACCTGCGCCAATAGTTGCAGCATTGCTCACTGATAATGCAAGCCTCTGCTCACGATCCACAACTTCTTTTGTAACGTCTGGTGTAGGGATTCTAGGCCGATTTTTAAGTGATATTGGAACTGAGTGGAGTTTTGTCATCGTTCCTTGACGACCTAAACGCTGACTCCGAATACTCTTTCTACCTACAAGACGATCGTACAGAGATATCTTGACATTTGGATGGGGATTTGTTTGTGGTAATCCCCCACTCTCTGGGCTGCTGTAAACGCTGTTATGACGATTTCTCGAGAAAAATCCACTGCTGCTGTACGTTGTTGATGAACTCCTGACGGAACCCATTCGCGTTATCTGACGCTGCAGCCAATTCTTCCGTCGCTCAACCAATGGCGTGTCGACACTCTCGTAATCTGCGTACATGTCATCCTGATGCAATTTTCTGTGCTGATTTGCACTGTGGATTTGAGTTCCCAGCATGACATTAGCGTAAAGAGCATCGCTCTCCTTTACTTTGTAGTGTTCAGCTGAGCCTTTGGGCTCTTCCCGTCGATATTGTTCACTGGCTACTGTGTATGGCAAATCCTTCGGCACCACCTCATCCCAGTACTGGTCCTTCAACAGCTCAGGGTGTTCCTCGTGCATCTCGTCGACAATCATGTATGCAGCCTGAAAAAAAAACATTTGGTCAATTAAATTTTCCCTTTCTCCTCGATTCTTTCACATTCTTCCATCATTTCTCCACCTTAATATGACGATCGATCAACCAATTCAATTCTATATCATCATCGTCTTCACCGAAAGGATTTATCAGCACCTCAGCGACTTTCAGCCATCCGACGTAGAAGCAAAACTGCAAGAGATAATAAATTCTCATCAAGTTAATTTGCCTCGCACAATGAAAATTGTTATGACTCCGTCTTTTGATTACCTGAAGAGTTGTGAAAACTGGAAAATACATGTCTGGATCTTCATATTTTCCTGGTGAACCAGTTCCATCCGGCGAGCGCTCCACAAATTGTCGTCCCAACAGGGCGGAAAAAAAGTACGCGTAAAGGGATAGAGTAACTACCTATAAACAAAATAATTTCACTATTATTATTCATAACGTTTGAGAATCAAACACCAAGTTGAAAACACAAGTTGAATTGCAGGTGTATAAATGGATACTTGTCACGTATTTCAATGCACAATAATAGTAGTTAAATTATTCGCCATCTAGTCGGCGCCTCTCTGATAATAACAGCCTAATCCACGCATTACAGAGGCTGTCTCCATAATGCATTACACAACCCGATGTTCTCTCAGTCCTCATATTAAAAAAATGCGAGATATTTTTCTTTCATATTCAAAAAAGTGCAGTTAAAAAGTGCATTAAATTGTTGAGGCACTGCCAAGAGTTTTACCCGGGTGAAAAGTGAAATGGAAATGAATAATATCGTAAACCACGGATTAAAGTTTAATTAGTATTCTTCAGCATTGCTGGATGTTGTATTACTCACCTGAGTATAAACAAGAGGAACGCACACCGTGTCATATCCAATTAGAGCACCTAATCGCTTTCTAATGTCACTCAGCTCAACCAAAAGTGTTTGAACTACATGATCACTTTCAATGAGCTTTTCCTTTCTTGCTCGATTTATAATGTTCGTTGCCCACACCAATGGCATCCAGTACTTCGACATTGCAGCTTTTTTATTCATCATCTCGAATATTTTCTTCTCCGACTCCATCATCAGGCCTGCGAAACAAATTCACCAATTGCCAAAACATTGAAGCGAAAAAAATTCAATGTTTATCATTTATCATTGATAATAAACAAAACATTCACTGACCTACATCTACAATATGCTGAAGCGTTGGAAATCGTCTTTTAACCCTCAATGAAATTCTTTGCAGTGTAATTACGTACGCCAGTACAGCGTATCTGACGATATTACGTCTCATCAATCGTCCGCGCTCGTCCTGAAATTGTTACAAATATTTGTCCAACTATTTTACGATTTTTAAGGACAATTTACTGCTTTTGGGATGGAGTGGACTGGTTTCTATTAAATTCCTTTCGCGTATTGTATCGCTCGAACACTTTCTCTGTTTCGAGAATTTAAATGGTTAAATCGCGTCTGGAATTTCATTGGCTTTATTCAATTGTTATTGTTTTTTTGCCGGACTTGTTCACTCATCTCATTATTCTGGGACTACCATTTTGCAATCGAGCAAACCATGTGTCGCTGCCGATGGAATAATAATTTCTTTAGAAATCGAATTTAATGGATATCAATTAATTCGATCGTCATTTCAATTTTACTAATTAAAAATAATAACACTATTAAATATTCGGTTCAATTTCTATTGCTAAATCTATTCTATTGTCTTTTGGTTCACGCAATTTAAGGAATTAATTAATCGCTCATTTTCCATGGACTTGAAAAGTTCGACGTTTACATGAAAGAATTCGATACCCCGATGCCTTTGTCTTCTTATCACTCGATGGCCTTTCCAAATCTTTATGTAAAGGAAAAATTCACGCGCATACGACGAAAAAGAATTTATTTTTTCAGCTCGCGATTAGTATCGAGTGCGGAATACCTACGATAAACGATTGTTACCCACTTACATGCGGTTAACGACATCGAAAGGTGTCATGGAAACTCATTTGTGTAATTCGTCCTCTGCATAAGTTGACGCGACATATTGTGTTAAACGTAAATTTTTTGCATGGACAAATGAGTAATCCCTTTATTAAGCGCCTCCTAGACTTATTTTTCCACCGAATGAAAATGCGAATTAAAAAATAACGACGAGTACTTACAATTCCTGGTATGGCTGCACTGATGAAGAGAGCCAAGTTATCGGGCCAAGGAAGTAATTTATATTGTTCCCACCATCTTTTAACAACGAGACTTACGTAAAATCCCAGAACGAACGACATCGGTATCGACTCACTCGAATTTCCGAAATAAAATCGAATTTTTTCGAATATCCTGGAATAAATTATTGAAATTTAGTGGAGGAAGGACAACCTTGGGAACAGCCTGAATAAAAATCAGCTGAAAATACTGACCTTTGTTGTTGATCGTTAAGTGCATATCTATAAGTTAAATTTATCATGTAGTAGACGAAGAGGTAGGCTAATAATTCCCTCCATATGAGTTTGTAAACTGAACCTCGCCACCTGAAAAATCGAGAAAATAGAAAATCGGTAAAGCTTAGAATTTTTTTTCTGTCCATTTTTTATGGTTCTTCCAATGGCCATGGTGAGATTTTTATTATGAAACTAACTGTAAGATATTTACCGGTCAAAAATTCACATCCCCTTGAGGAATTTTTTGACTCCAAGAATAGATTTTATTACTCTAGATTACTTGGCAACATTCACAAGGCAATAACGTTTGATGTGAAACAATATATTGTATTTTCTTGGAAAAACTCGAGCGTCACGTAAACGTTAATTATTACCGACCACTTGGAATGCATTTTTCTCGTTAACATTGATAATAAATTTTATTTGCACTGTAATTTATTCACCAAACGGAAATGCCAATTTCTTGATAAGTTTAATTCCCGAATCCGTGAGATAGTTCAAAATGAAAAGTAGGAAGCAATGAGTGAGATTTGAAAAGACACGTACGAGTCGCCTCGGAATGTTAAATACTCTTGTGAAATTCAAGTCTTTGTAATTTGCTTTTCCCAATGGTTTAAAAATTATGTGCCAAATGATGCCGCAATTGAATTCGAGATCTCCACTCTAACAATTGTATCACTTCCGTAATTCGAATAGATTATTGACAAATCATTAAGTACGAGTTTAATTGAAATTAATTGTTCTGCGATGTTGAGGATTACATGAGTACAGAGACAATGCATTGATGTGAGTTCTAGATGAATGACAGACATATTGATGAGGAATAGCAAATTGAATTGACAGTGACACCTTTACGAGACAGCCTTGTGTCTCTCCAAGAATAGCGTACATATGGGTACTTTATATTTATTATCTTTAAGCCAATTCGCGTAAAAACAATCTAGACAGACTAAAGGACGGAAAAATCATTGTCGATTCATGGCAACTCGCTGATGAAGGTGACAAGTCATTTTAATTCGTTGGCAGAAAGGGTGAATTTTTTACGTGACTAATTTCCGCGATATTTACACCGGTGGTTAATAATGATTGGATTAGTTGATATTTATTCTGATTTTAGCGTCGTGTACCAATGATAAATAATGAATTGTGAATAAAAAATGGGAAATATCGGGAATGGAATCAGCAGCGGATGTTCCTATGCAAAGCAAGGTCATCTGAGAGTTGTTGAACAATTTAAAAGTGTTGCATAATTCCATCATCCATTGCTGGTCACGGTTTGTGAACCGATGCTACAGTACTTGTTTGTTTAATAATTGGTATTAATTATGGGGGGTTATATGAAAGTACAATTGGCAAATTTCTATTTCATGTATCCATTTCTGGTCAATTATTTTTTCTACTCACAATTTGTTTTTCATCGATTCAATCACATTTATTTTTTACATGGAATAATTGGATAATTTATGATAAATTGTATAAGCGGCAATGAAATAGTTCTTCAACTTCATGAAAACCGAGGGAAAGAATTTACGAGCTATTGAGGCATTCATCCATCATCTTGAAAAAATCTTTTATTAATCTTCTGCGCTATGAAGAATAGAACAAGAAAAAACTGTAATAAAGCAACATAATGTCCTTGATATTAATAGTGAGCTAATCCGTATCCGCATATCATGAAGATCTGACCAACAGAAAGAAATTGGTAGATAAGAAAACAAGAAACTCGTGTGGCGTTGGCTGGTATGAAATCTGAATGATGTATTCAGTTTCAACTCTTCAGATTTCATATCGGCGAGCTGAGAAAATGTCAACTGCACAAAGAGAATTAATTAAGAAGCGATAAACCATTAATCTCGGTAGTTGATATTTTTTTTTTCTGCTGTATGTACTGTGCAAAATCATAAATCGTTTAGTCTGAATCACTTTTATCCGCCGATTTCTCGTCGGTTTTTTCGACTTGGTGCGAATTCACTTTCTTCTTCATGAGAAGTCAACTTTTGCCACTGAACACTTTTAAACTCATACATACAACGTGGTTCCGGTTTTCAATAAACTGAGACGACCTTCGTGGGTGCCCAATGAATTCTTCGAACATTTGATTCAAGGCTTTCTACTCATTTTTTCCACGCATATTTATTTATATTCATTTTACGATGATAATAATTATATCCACAAAACGAAATGTTGCAACAATTAACTGTTTTAACGTTAAATGTTAATTGATACATTAATTAAAATTTTAATGCTAGGATTGCAGCACACACTTGTTCAATCTGTCAAATTCCGAACTGTTTGTTCAATTGGTTTCACTCGAATTATCTCGACTCTTCTTCACCACGCGCATCATATGGTATTCCTTTAAAAATCATAACACGAGGTTTATTAATAATTATTACCCCGCAACGATCGGCATTTATCATCGGTAATTAATTCCACGGAGCTCGAGTAATTATTCCGTGTAATCCACGAATTCCACTCGATTCCGGATACCGGATGAATAACTGCACATATTATCCTGAATAATTACTCGGGATTACAAAAAAAATTAGCAATAACGTGCGCTCGGTTATGAAAATCAATAGGCGGAAAATATTTGAATTGGGAAAATCGGTTCGTGAATATCAATTATTTCCTTACAATTACAGGAATTCTATCGATTACATAAATTTCCTAAATTAATGTCTTTTTAATTATAGGAGAATCACAACGAAATTAAGAAATAATAATTGATGACATCCCGATGATATACTAATCCGAAGATGATAATTTCGAAGATTAAGAGGAAAAATAAATTTCGAGTGAAAGCACGTGGTATTTTTCCTTTTCGAGAGAACACAGTGGCAGATAGATATTACAAGGATAATAACTCGGAATAAATTTGATATGGCGATTGATTATTCTCGTATTATTGGCGTTGGTTTGTCGCAATCTGAGCAACAGCCACGATTTAATTCCTGCACAACTTGGAAAGTCTGTGCAATGGGTCCCCCAACAGTTCTACATTTTCCATCCAAAACACAGTGCATTCCCACAAATAATTTATCAATTAAACAAATAAAAATTATACCAGCCTGCATTATCCAATGTAACAAAAAATTAATACTGGTACAAAGTCCAACCACACCGTCGCTCCAGGTTCACTGGTTTGACATTCGTAAAATCATTTGAAGTGTCATCAAAATTCGCTTTCCCACACCTCCCACACCAATTCAATGATCCCAAAAAACAATGCAAATAACAATAAATAATATTACTTACTTAATGAGAATTCTCCAGAAACAGCCAAAGCTGGATCCATTTGGGACTTCACTAGCGTAAGATATAGTCATTTCCCGACTAAGCGAGTCAACGACACGCCCCTTCCTGTTTCAATCTCAATAGTAGGTGAAATAGTTCGATCACCGATCGTTATCCGCAAGATTTTCACTCATCCGATTGATCAATAATCGATTAATCAGTAAACTTTACCAAGTACCGTTACAACTTGGATTTTCAATTGCCCCAGTCTATTTCGAACTTCAATAACGGGTTACTGGCTAGAATCAATATTTATTGTCATTTAGTACATGTTACTCAACTGATGAGCTAGACGTCGACCGTGATTCCACTTTCAAGCTCAAATATCTTGTCTCTTATTCCGTGCTACCAAGTGACTGAGCTCCACTGCGTGATTACACCAAGTCACCAGGAGAACGGACCTCCAGAACTAACACACCTACCTCTCCTGTCCGTCATTATTCAGGTACGTAGAATGCCCCTAAAGCCCCCTGACGATTGCACCTGCGGATAGAACCCATTGATGAAGCGACCCAATGGTATTACCTGGTGATTCCCAATGGTATCCGGCCCCGGGTGGTCGACCTTTCTCAATTTTCAATGGAAAACTCTCCACCAATGCTGTTTGGTGGAAAAAAAAATTTCACCTAGCTAAGATACCGAGATATTGCCAATGTGGATTTAACCACTGGCTAACCAACAGCTATTCATTTTTTCAACTGCTTTATGTTTAAACAAACGCCACTCCGCGGTGAATTTTCAAATTGTCGACTTGCCTTGCCGCGGCCTAGCCTCGGGCACATGACATTGCCGTTAAACCAAGATGTATTTCACCAATCATCTGGGTTTTTCCCCCTCCCATTGGGAAATCCCTGCAATAAACTACATTCTCGAATGGGTTAACACTGTCAATACCTTGTCATCGTTTTATTTTTTATTTATACAGATCAGAAGATGTTGCACTGAGACGATTATTACGTGCGCTGACTAAATTTACTCACTGCAAGCAATTCCGTAGATTTTAAATTCAAATATTTATGCGCATTAGCTCGGATGTAAATTGATTTTGCGAACGCAATTTATTCTCTCTGTGTACGATTACACCTCGGATTTTTATTTGTCATTTCTCACTTGGATTTATCACCGGCTGTCTTCAATGGACCATCAAGACAGTTCAATGTTCTTTTGTACATTGTGAATGACATCCGCAGAATTATGCAATAGTTTCTTCTCGTATTCCGTTATTCGCATTCGAATCACTTGACCGACACCGCTCGCTCCAATTGTACAGGGAAGAGATAGAAATAAGTCCTGGCAGATATTATGGTGGCCCTGTAATAAGGATTGATATTATTTTTGATTTATGCATTCTTGGGGTGCAAGTACGAGGAGACGTGTTGACCTGGACTGATGTAGACACAGATTTGACCGATAGAGTATTCCGGATTATGTCCCTAGTGATATCAGCGGCGGAAAGACCGACGGCCGTGTTAGAATATCCTTTGAGACATCTTACTGTAGAACCGCTAGCGAATTAAAAATATAATGTCAAAAGGGATGCAAGTGTTGTTGATAAATCTGTGTAATTTAAACGCACGCTTTAGCTACGGATTTCGCCAGGTCATTCCAGCCTTCTTCGTCTAGTTCGAGTCCGACGTGGGGTATGATATCTCGGAATAGAACACCTGCTACGTTGACACCTGACCACAAGGGTACTGAAAGGAAATTCGAAATTAATACTCTTTCTCGTTTTCTTCGTGATCTGTTACCTTGGCTGTCACCGTGCTCTCCAATCACTAATCCGTGCACTGATTTTGCGGAGATTCCGAGTCTCTTTGCTATCATACAGCGGAATCTAGCTGTATCTAGATGACAACCGGCACCAATTATTCTGGTCACTGGTAGACCACTCACTTTCCATGCCACCCATGATAACACATCAACTGTATCGAATGGAGACAATTTGAATATTGGAAAATTATGAATGATCATTTGTCTAACCTGGGTTGGACACTATCAAAAAGACAGCATCTGGACTGTATTCGACCAATGGGGGAATTATATTTCTCATGATATTTGTATTTTTTTTTACGAGATCTAGTCGGTTTTCTCCTTCTTTCTGGCGGGCACCGGCGGTTATTACGACAACTTTTGAATCTTTTGAGATGCAAAAATCTGGAAAGGAAATTATTCCGTAGATTTTTAGAGTGCGGATTAGATTGAATGGTTTACTCGTGTCGAATTCGATTCGGGGATCATCCAGAAATACTGAGCTGTGACAATAGTCCATTCCTTCGCCTTCCAATTTTTTTGGGAAGGGATCGACTATGGCTACGTGACTGCTAATTCTTTGAAAGAGAATTGCGTTGGCGCAGGCAACACCAACCATGCCAGCTCCAACAATTGTTACTTTATCTATCCCATTCCTCGCTGGGTCAGCAACTTTGCATAGTAATTCTTCTCGTAGACACGCCGGTGACCTGAATAATCATAATAAAATTGTTTACAATAATTTTTTCTTGGTACCAACGCCACATCAATAATCTCACTCAAAACTCGCCGGTCTTTCAATTTTCTTCGTGTGCTCCACATTTTGGTAATTGTAACACAAAAATTTATTCGCTTTGTTGGTTAACGTTCCATAATATTGTGATTGTTTGGAAAGACGGGATGTCAAGTACGCGAGGTGTGTGAATTTTTGACGCATTTTTTTTCGCAGTTACTCCAATTTTTATTGACACTTAAAACTTTTTCATGAATTGTATACCGGTGAAATTTAAAACCGAAAAACCATTTTCACTGTCATGATTTAATCTATCAATTGTTCGATATTATTCACTCGAACTTCAGGTAATTGCAGCGTCTATAGAGGGAAGATGAATAATAATTAAAGGGGATGGAATTAAGGAAATGAAGTCACTAATTTACAATAAATAGATTTAATATTCACGAATAAGTATTTGGTGCACATGGCATCGGGTACATGAGATAATTTTCATTATTTCAGTCGCCTGTGCACTTTTATACTTATAAAACACATATATTCATTTCAAATGAAATACTTCGACAAAGTAGAAAGAAAATGCACACATAAATATATTCATTATTTTCAAAATACAAATCGTTGAAAATACTGATATGGTGAATATCCTCACCGGAAAATTGAAATGCAGAAGCACCAGGCCACAAACATATTTTTTCTAACACACAAGAATGATAAATTATTTAAAATCAAAATTTGAGTCCTGTTTGGACGTCGTGCATCGCAACGGCTGATTTTTTCAGGAGATCTTGTTCTTTTTGAGTGAGTTTCTGTTGAACAATGCATGTTACACCACTTTCGCCAAGAACACACGGAACTGAGAGAAAAACTTCTTCCGATATGCCATGAAGACCCTGAAAAAGAAATTTGTACCCCAGAAATTATATCTCAGACCTTTGGATTCCAGAACCATCTCGAAAAAATGGCTAATAAACTTGTAGTTTATTAATTGACACTTACATTGCACATTGTGGACACAGCATGAACCTGTCCAGAATTTCTGAGTATAGCCGATGCAAGATTAGAAATACTGAGGCCAATAGCCCACGAAGTGTAGCCTTTCAACTGAATAACTTTGTAGGCACTCTGTACCACTTGCTTGTGGATGTCCCCAAAATTCTCAGAGTCTTTCTCAGTCCCCACATTCTCATCCAGATCTCGCAGGCGAACACCGGCAACATTAACTCCAGACCAGACAGGAACTGCAAGTGAAAAAACAATAGAAAAAAATATTTTAAAACGCCACAGTATGAAGGCTGATGCAATATCTACCACTGGTGTCTCCATGCTCTCCGATGATCCATCCGTGACAGGAAGTGGGTGCCACATTCAATTTTTGGGACAGCAAAAATCTAAATCTTGCAGAATCGAGATTCGTTCCACTTCCGATGACTCGATTTTTAGGAAATCCAGACAATTTCCACGCCACGTATGTCAAGATGTCGACAGGATTCGATACAACCAGAAGAATAGCATTGGGACTGAACTTGACCAATTGTGGAATTATTCCCTTGAAAATGTCTGTATTTCTTTGCACCAGATCAAGGCGGGTCTCACCCTCGCGCTGTCGTGCACCAGCTGTTATCACACATAAACTGGAATTTGCTGTAGCTGCATAATCAGTGCTAGCATTGATACGTGCGTTATTCAAAAAGGAGCTGCCATGCTGGAGATCCATCATTTCACCCTTCAACTTATCCGCCATGACATCAATGAGGACGACTTCATTGGAAACATTCTACAATAAATTGAGGTAACAGTGAAATTCGTCAACCACGATAATTAAGTGGCAGAAGGAATAATTACATTTGTCAAAATGCTGAAGGCACAGGCCATTCCAACCTGCCCAACTCCAACGACTGTAATTTTGTTCTTTCCTGTTGTTATCGGCTCTGCCACAACACTCAATAATTTCTCTTTTAATGTACTCATTTTATCTGAAAGAATTCATCACTCTCATTACTCAATCTATTTATAAATATTGAGGTTTCAATGTCAACTGGAACACTAGATGTACAAATGAGATTTCAAGGCTCAAAGTCAAGAGACAGATACAAAAATACCCCACGTCTACGTGATCATCTGCATGATAAAAGTCTAGAATTTTGAACAGAAAATTTTTTATGAGTGTCACCGAAGATCACCGGTATAATTATAGCTCAGCACCAATGGTAGTCATGAAATTCAGGGATTCCAAAAAAACAGAACACACATTCTTATCAATTTTATAATAAATATTGAAAGGTTGTGCCTGGAAAAGTGTGCAAATAATAACAATTCTGTTAATTTAGCAGAAAACAATCCATAAATAGTGCATAACGCCTGAAAATGAAACTGAGGTAATATCTGATGCAATTCATGATGTGCATGACCATTGCAATGCAGATGCAATTATAAAAGTTGAATTCTTACCTTGTATCAGCTACAACTTTTTGCAAGAAAGCCCGAGTTATCAACCCTGCCAAGATTAGCGTCTAGGAGATGCCGATGGGATGAATGAACTGACACGTTCACGAGTTCGAGAGTTTCTGTCATTGAAGGTGACCTTGCCTTCCCTTTTATGTTTGATGGTGAGATCCAAAGAGGATTGACTAAAGTAGAGGCTCAGTTCTGGG